TATTATTATTTAAAATTATATTCTCACATATTTGCCGTGTGGTGACGGATTAAGAATACAAATTGTCACCACCCCAATTCATCCCGTGGGTGTCGTAAGAGCCGACTAAGGGGGCAAACTAAGCAGGACAACAGCACTGCAAAGAGAAGGAAAATTTGAAACAAATCCTATACCAACCCGTCTGGCCAGCGTGGTATAGTAGGCCAAAACCTCCTCTCTAAGGAGAGGCCTATGTCCAGCAGTGGACTAGTATAGGCTGTTGATGATGATTGATGATGATGATTCTTAATCCGTCACCACACGGACTGCTACAATACCAAATGTTTTTTTCTTCTTTTACTGAAATCAGAAAATAATTTTAAACGAGTTCATAATATGAAATGCTCGAGTGAAGTGTTCTCATATACAAGGTATGCAACCTGAATATTCCAGTTCCACGTCAGCTGTCCGGCTGGAGAATGCGTAACGATACGACTGTGGGTAGTTGTGAGGCTAAATGTTTTGCTTTGTTTGAATAATATTTCTCTTATTAGCATGACAGCTGACAAAATACACGAGTGTTATACAACTCAATAGATATGCTGTGTTCTGGAATAATAGGAATCGTGTATTAGATTCCTGTCGTTCTTAGCCGTCTTTTAAGTGTAGGTTGTCTTGTCATTTAGCCGCCTTTTAGCCTGAGTTTGGCGTGTAATTCTATTTTTACCCTAATGGTTTTGAACCCTTATGTACAAGGACCAAAACTATTTCTTATTTTACTTAGTAACGGGAAGTGCTTCGAGGATTTGTTTGGACTTATACCGGCCGCAACTTTGTACCGTCCCTTAACGCGGCAAAACGTTCACCCATCAATTGGATAATAGGCACTACTGTGCGCTTTTGAAGACAAATAATATTCATTATAGTCCTATCTCAAAAGCGGCCATGCATTTGTGACTCAAGAGTCATAATCACAAGTGCATTGCTGGTTTTTTCGGGTAGGGTATTAATTCAAGAATGCAGGTGTACATGGGAGATGGTAGTCACTTACCGTCAAAAGACCGTGTGGCCCCTCTGTCATAAAAAAGTGAGAAATAGAAGTACATTTTTTTTCCTGATTATTTCTGTTCTTTCTTAGAACAGTTATGGTACATTCACACTAATCCATGCTTATATTATAAATTCCAAAGTGTGTCTGTCTATCTGTTACCTCTTCACGCTTAAACCGCTGAACAGATTTAGATGAAATTTGGTAAAGAGATACTTTGAGTCCCGGGAAATGGACACATAGTTTTATTCCAGAAATTTTCCTTTAAAGGGGTGAAAGTTTGTATGGGAAATCAATAGAGCCGCTGAACCGATTCAAATGAAATTTGGTATGGAGATAGTTTGATTCTTGATAAAGGACATAGGCTAACCGCGATAACCGACATACACGCGGGCGGAGTCGCGGTCCAAAGGTGTATACATAAATCATTGTACAATTTCAACGACATTCACAATATTTTGTACCTAAATTAAATTTGTAAAAAAGCCTCCAATCCATCGACTTTCCAACTTAAAACGTACGAAATAGAGCACAATTTGCTAAATGTGCTTTGACTTTTAAAGATCTTTTTAAAATTGAATAAGGGCCTTCCTGCTTCTAATAAATTTAAGAAGGAAATGCCCTTTAACCTTTATTAGTATGTAAATTAAGGAAATTTAAACCTTATTTCTATGCTGTTCGGATTTAAGATTTGTTAAATGTATTGTATTGAATCTGAATGTTGTAGATTACTAGCGTACTAGATGAACATTTGCCTCCATAGAAGAAGAAGGCATTATGGTTGAAGATGATTTAAGAGTTTTTCTTACTTTTAATTACTTTCACAATATAAATAACTTATTTTTTGCCCTTTATTAAAACACCATTTTAGGATGCGAGTAGCCGAATATCGATCGAAGTGGCGAGCAATGGGAGAGGCGTATGTCTAGCAGTGGACTGCGATAGGATGATGATGATTAAAACACCATAATGCTCCTTATCTTGTTACTAATATTATAAATACGAAAGTTATGATCCATAGATGTCTGTTACTCCATCACGGCAAGAACGGCTAAACTGAACTGGATATAATTTGGCATGGAGATAGATTATAGTCGGGTATAGCACATACACTAATTTTTGTTTTGAAAAAAAAAGAGGTTACAAAATCGACATAAACATAAAGCTAGTATTCTGTTAAGTTCTGGCATTTTCATATAAGAGTTTACACTATTTAATATTAAAATCAGGATTTTGCTGACATTCACGTAATCTAACTAGAATTTCTGCTCCTCAATGAAAATTTTAACTTTCTGTTTTTATTAACACACAACTTTTATTAAAACGATAGTTTTAGACTAATCTAAAACTATCGTTTTAATAAAAGATGTGTGCCACAAAATTTAGACTAAAATAAAGCTTTTCTTTTTCAAACAGCGAATTTTCCTTAACAATTTACTAAACAATTCATTTCAACAACCATTTACCTCCTCCCTAATTTGCCATCCCCTTTATAACCTTTTAAAATATTTAGGTATTCAAACCGCACCCCTAAATACCCTTACGTGAAAGGTTTCAAAAGCCTACAGAGCCCTCAAAGCCAGGGGTTAACGTATGCCGCTCGTTAGGGTGCCTCATCAACGTAGTTTTGTTTCGGACGTGAAAGGCTTCTAGGGGATGTGTATATAGACGATTTCGTGGTCTTCAGTGGCGGATTTGAAAAGCTGGAAATTTACAACGACTTGGAAATTATGTTTCAAATTATCTATAATACATGATGTCCATGAAAATGTGACACTAGCTGGTAACACTCATGGTTTTTGTATCTGTCATTCAATTTTAAAAATAATTTAAAAAAAACTTCAAAATTTAAAAGTTATGATCGTTTCAATTTTAAGGGGATAAGTGAGTATATTGTATGTATGTAGAAGTTAGAACTTATTTATAAAGACAGTTATAATGCTCTAATATATTAAGATAACGGGTAATAGGGTAGCAGAAACTTGTAGGAGCACAAACTTATACGTTAGTCAAATGTGTGTGTGCGCCATATTTGACATTTCTTTTAGTGGTTTTCTTGTTTGTTTTGTTTAATTTATTGTTCAATTATAGCATGAATCGAGGCCTGTTATCTATGACTTGTTATATTTAATGGTACTGCCGATTTTATTATTAATATTCAAACGCAATTGAAAATTGTTTATGAATAAATGAAATGCCATTATCTAAATTTTAGTACCTGAAGAAAATGCTTTGTATTTCTTTATAGTATATTGTATTTGGTGTATTTAATAATTCTATGTAGAAGTGCAGAGAGTAATTTTAAAAAGAAGTTAAAAACTAAAACTATAGGGGCTCAGTACCCCCCACGCGATCTCTATAAGTAAGAATTACATGACTATAGATGATGTCATGACTTAATGACACAGCTGCATCACGATCACGACTATTGTAATCATCCTAAGAAATTTGTATTCCGTGTACAAGTTAAGAGCCGTTATAGTATGCGTAATTTTACTACATACACGTGGATCTGGTATGGACATGGCATGCGGAGGGATAAGGGAAATGTGGCCAAAAAAGTGCTAGGTATGAGAGTTGAAGGGTACAAGAGAAAAGGAAGGACAAAGAAAGGTGGATGGACTGTGAGAGAGAGGATATGGCTAGGAAGAGAGTAAACTAAAGTAAAGTTGAATAGAAGAATCAAACTTACTGCGCCGTCTCAAAAGGAAATTGGGATAAGGGTAGGCAGGTGATGACACGTGGATCTCGACAACTATAACTGTCTTGATTTTAATATAGTTGCCGAAGCATGTAGACCGGCTCGATCTGAGTAATGTCACGGCCAGGAAACTGGTGTTAAGCACCAGATTTTCACCAAGTGTTTTTTCTTTTTGCGGTATTTCTGGATCGATACGACCTCCAAAACTTCAAGAAAGAGCGTACTCCTTGCTAAAAGGCTGGCAACGCGCTTGTGACTTGTGAGTTGCAAGCGCTTGCGGGCGACGGTAGTCAATTTCCATCAGGAGGTGACCTTGCTGCTCGTTTGCCCCCTTTTCTATAAAAAAAATCGGCTGTCTGTAAAGTCGGTTTACTGACGATAGTTGAACGTGACAACGTCATAAGACACCACATTCACTTTTCACTGCACTTCATACTTGACGAAAACATGTAAATGTATTATTGTATAGCAGCTGTCCACGCGGACGCATCGCTCACTCAAGTAGGAGAGAGACAGATGTCGAACGCTGCCGAACGCGGAGGCCGATTGTGCCTCTTTGTCGCTAGTTCCGCGCTCTCGCTTGCACTTCAAGCCTTAAATGGAACGCCTCAGAGCGACGTAACGCCGCATGAGTCATGTTTTTTCGTGCGTGCAGCCGGCTCCATCGAATTGTAAGACGTTGTCACGTCAAAAGTGAGTGAGTTTACCGGAAGCCCAAGCAGCCCTCCCCTCACTTAATTCTGGTAGGTGAGGGCACCCACTTGTGTCTCTTGAGTTTCAGGTGTCACTCACTATCAGGTGACCCGTCTGCTCGATTATACCCCCCTATACCAGAAAATGTGTGACCAGACTGTGTAGCGACTTCCACATACCATAAAAAAAACATACTAGAACGCTATCTAACAAAGACATCGAACTACTGAGTAACTGCTAATCCTGTATCGCGATATGAAAATTCTCAGGCCGAGCATATATGTATACAACTTCCCAACATCAATCTTTGGGCCGCGGCCCAAAGGAGGAAGACCCTCAGTTGACCCTCCGCCTTTCAGGGGAAACACAATAGGAGACGGAGACGTTTGTACTCCTGGCATATCTTCTATGGAAGATAACTGGATGTTTCCCATTTCGTGCCGCTGCTTATCAACTTTCTCACCTTAACATCCTGCTCAGATCGAATATACATAGATGTTCAATCAGCTTCCCTCTCCCAAAGATATTATCACGTGTAATCTACATTCAACTCTTACCAATTATTGTTATTTGTTCCAGGTATTCTCAACCACCACACATAGAAATGGCGCGAGGTAAAATCATCAGAAACGTAAGACCATAAGGAAATAAACAAACAAGAAACTCACCTCAGATATGACGTGAACCTCAAGATACTTGTGATAGCAGCCAATCAAAAGGCCTATTTTATTATCTAGAAAAAAAACCTGTTCCTGTAGTGATAGTGTCAATTAGCGAATACCAAAGTAATATTAGGGTTGTACCTCTAGTAATTTTTCAATAAAGAAAAAACAAATTAAAAGTATATTTTTGAACCAAAGCTTAGTTAAGGATGTCGAATCAAAATCAGATACCAATATACAGCCAAGTAGTTCCAAAATCTCAATACAGAGCGAAAAATACGAAGGCGAGTCGAACCCAGAACGTCAGAAGTGACTTCGACCCCCTCAACTTTAACAACGGCGGGAATTTTGCCTTGAGCACTCCTGTTGAAGGGAAGATGGAAAAGAACGAAAAGAAAGAGCCCAGGAGAGTCAAAGAGGAGTCTTCAAGAGTTCGGAGGGTTCAGCGGAATGAGGCTAGCGAAGGGAAGGTGGAGGCGTATTTGAGGCAGTACCAGGTCAGCATGAGGCAGCAACAGCATCGGCACTCTGCTGTTCGACAGGCTGAACATAGAGTTAACCTCAGGTAAAAAGATTTAATTGTTAATATGTGAATAAGTATTAGTTCCCAATAAAATAACAATGAGTTATTTTTAATTGATATCATTTTAATGAAACCCATTGCACATTTTATCAGAAATATTGTCGTAAAACTATTAAGAAATGTGATAAGAATTTAATCAGATTTATCTATACAAATAAATAAAATTGGAGTGTCTGTTTGTAATATTAAAATAACCGCTTTTTACTAAATGCATATGTATGTTTACACGGTACATATGCCAAAATAACATTTTTTACAATTTTTGTCTGTCTGTCTGTCTATCTGTCTGTCTGTCTGTTTGTTCCGGGTAATCTCTGGAACGGCTGGACCGATTTCGACGGGACTTTCACTGGCAGATAACTGATGACATAAGGAGTAACTTAGGCTACTTTGTTTAGACTAGCTTCGCCCCGCGGCGTTGCCCGCGGTTATAACAACAAACGCGGGTAACACCGCGGGTCTCAGCTAGTAATTAATATACATAGTGTTACAAGCTAATTTATTAAATAAAATACGACTACGTGAAAATGTATAGGTACCTAGAATTTATTTATTTAACTCTATGCACTTTTGTACATCGACGGACTTAATGCCCATGGCATTCTCTTCAAGTCAACCTTTGGGTGGTTTAGGAATCTTGTAAGGTAGGTGACCATGGACGATAGACGAATCTAACGACACCTCCCAAGCCAAAATTCATCCATCATATCTTGGATATATGAACAACCTATCATTGAATAACAGTTCGTTATGTATTTATCTATTTTTGAACGTTTCCCAGATCGCTACCATTAAACGACATTACCACATCGCGCGGTCACGACAGAACACCTTCGGATCGACATCGGGGCTTTCCTGAAAGGGATCGAGAAGGTTCTCGAGAGCATCGGCGTGAAAGGGACAGAGATAGAGATCGAGAAAGAGATAGGGACAGGGAGAGAGATACCTTTGACTTTGATGGTGAGTAAGTGATTTCGTAATTTCTTAACTTCTCTATTCGCGTGAACAACACGCAAGTTTTGGGCAACTTCAACCAGTAATATATCATTATTAAACCCTTTACTTATATATACACTAGTTTACAGCGTATTAAGCTCTGTGGTTACTTAGTTTGATCTTAAGTTCGTTCTTCGGTGAAAGACTATCATAAAATCTCCTTACACACATCGTAAATCGAGCATATTTGGTCCACTTTTGGTCAAGTTACCTATGAATATCAGTTGTAACTTCTTGAATCTATTGCAGTGTATTGACTTAACAAAGTCATATTCGGTGACTCCGAGGTAATTGGTGACGTCAGAAGTTTGATAAATTTAGCAGACGTCGAATTACGGAATACTACACCATACCGTAATAGGCATGGTCAATACTTTAACTAATTCCATCTAAAATTGGTCGATTGTATCGTAAATATATTATAAATGATTTTTATTTCTTTAAAGCCTATTTCGCTATTCCATTAAAAAATATTTCATTTGTAATTAATTCCAGGTACACCACTTAGTCCAATAGCGTCTCGTCTACAAGACAAAGAAACCCGCGGCGTCCGCAAGTCTACATCATCACAACGAGTGACAGAGACCAGCATATCCACTGACAAGAGGAGATTCTTCTGTCGCGAGTGGGCTTTCCAGAAGATAGCTCACTGCTTAGAGCAGAGGCCGGTTAGCAAGACTTGTGGCGCACTAATATTGGGTGAGGTTCTTAATAGCTCTCTGTGATACGTGTGACCTCCAATGAGTAACAGTCTTATACTAAGCAGCCATGTCTCCAGACTGGACATGGACTGATGGTCGCTGGAACCAAAAGGTGCTAGAGTACAGACCGCGATTAGGCAAACGTAGTGTAGCACGGCTTACAGCACGATGGACCGACGACTTAAAGAAAGTGACTGGTAGCGGATGGATGCGGACTACCCAAGATCGTGAGGGTTGGCATTTCTTTGATGAGGCCATCGTTTAGCAGTGGGGATAGGTTGGTGGTTACTAAGTTTTAAACTTTCTCGTTTTTATACCTTCGCATATACCTTTGAATTGCCAGGTTGCACTGGCGTTTATTTCCACATGTTATACATAATTAGATGTATAACGACTGTTATTTTTTGGCGGTTAATATTATTCATGCAAAATTCTGTGTTTGTTACTCCTTAGAAAATGTTAGGACGGTTTTAAAATACCTTTGGAAGAAGATTATACCTGGAATGGCGCGCGATAAAGGGATAATTCTACCGCCGTATGCTACGACTTAATATGTGAAAAATGAAATTATCACAGTGACTTCACTTTTCCATTTTATATTTACTGTTTTCCCAGGTGATGCGGGAAGCGGTAAGACGGCTCTGTGCCAGGAGCTTAGTGATCCAGGCCAAGGTCCGCAGGCTCGACAACAACGCTCACTCAATAGACGACTGCTGGCTCGACATTTTCTGCAGGTAGATTTTTAGTTTCATGTTGATTTGCTGTTTTTTAAAATATACGTTATTTCACATAAATCATATATACGCGTTACGTAATAGGTCCCAAGCCTATTGCCCGTCAACTAGGCTCTTTACGAATTAAATAGGCGGTTTGGGGAATTCAATATAAATGGAAAAGTGTGCAAGATAGTAAGGCAATGGCAGGCAAAGGAATATTGCATATACGGGTACATTGAGTGATGTAAGCAATACATAGAGGGTCACATAACTGTATCTCGAACTGGAGGCCAATTCTCGTAATGAAAGTTCGGTCACAATTGAGTCCCGATCAACTCTTGATCTCGCAACTGTCATAAAAGGTGTTTAAGTGGTTTGGTGTTTGTGTTTATGTTGTTGTTACGGCTGGTAACTAGTAAAGAAAAGCATGCATTGACGTAAAGTTCAAAATTACAAAAGTAAAACGCTTTTATATGATAAATATTTCATGTTTCAGAGTCATACGGAAAGTAGTTTGCGTCCTGGTGAATTCATCCGATCTCTCGCTATGCAGATACTGAGTCACTCCTCACGGAGGCCCAGAGCTGATAATTCAGATCTGTCACCTCGTGACCCTGAAACTCCTCACAGTCACAGGTAATTATGCACTTAGACTAATTGTGATAACCGGGTTGATGTTGCCGGTTCGATTCAATTATACAAAGTGGATCCAATATTATCATATTTTTTCCTAATATATAAAGTGTACGTTATTTTTAGACGATTTGCAAAATATGAATTAATGAAATATATTCCGTGATGTCTGCCACAGGACATAATAATAGAAATATAATATAAAAAAATTGAATAAAAAGATACGAATTAGAACACCCATATAAGTATTCCATTACACAATTTATAGATCATTATAGATCATAGATCCTATTACACGGATGGCATAGTTGCTTCCTACTGCGTTTTGCGTTGCAGGTTCGATCGCCACATGGGACAACACTTTGTGTGATCTAAAAATTGTTGTTCTGAGTCTGGGTGTTATTTGTGTCCGTTTTATGTGTGTGTGCAATAACGTGCGGGATACATCTTTTTATAAAAACATACAAAGCCAAAACGTCAACGATAGTCGCAGAATTGCTCGATATACATTTTTTTGTTTTCTTTTCAGGCATAATAACTCTGAGGAAGAGCGTCTCATAAGTCGGTTCCGGGAGCTCGGTGACGATGGCGAAGAGAGCTCGAAACCCTTATTGGCCGACAGTGAAGGTATTTTATTTTTTATTATTTTTAATAAAACAATAAAATGACAAAAATTAATCCATCCAAAGGTTGCCTGGAAGAAATTGCACTAAGCGATAAGGCCGCCCTTTGTACATTACATCTGTTGTTATTTACTTAATAAAGTCTGTAAAACCCTGGTGTACAAATAAAGTATTTATCTATCTATCTATAATATTATTAAAAAAATCTTATAATAAAATATTCGTTCACAGCATTTCTAATAGAATGAAACTTTAATGTTCAATCCCATTCAAACAAGTTTGTGGGTGTTCCTATTCAAAATGTCGTGGCATTAAGTTTATGGCAGATAGATTAAAATTATTTTATTTATTGATGTGAAACATGTAGTGTAGAGGGTCTCACCATGGCGACGCTTTGCCTAGGCATGCGTCGCCACGCTATGAGATAATAAATGTAACGTGTGTGTTTTTCTTTAAGATATGTGAATATTAATATATTTTTAACTATCTGATATTTCTTACTTGGTATATCTTCGCTTCGGCACATTGTGGTTAGAAAAAAAAACATTGAATCGGATTGTATTTCGTGTCAAAATTTGAACTCAATCAGTGTAGAACTTTTTAGAGTTTTTGAAGCGTACACAAACCAACCTATCATTTTTTGTTCCCTTTCATAAGCTACACCTTTGTATTAATTATTTCTACAAACATTTTTATTCTAAAAAAAATTAAAACAAGGTCCCTAAATTATCACAGAAGTATCACACAGGACAAACGTTGTTTAAAAACTAAAAAATAAGAATTAACATACAAGCATCAAAAAACTGCGCATCACCGCCTACTAGTAGCGTTCCCAGAAGACTGGCAGCATTGCCACGTTGAATGGTAACGCTAATTCTCTGTGCTAGAAAAAGGCCGGCCTTCTGATCGCGAGAAGTGTCGTTCAGTTGCTTAGCTATTTGTTTAGACATTGCACTAGCACTCGGCCCCATGTAAATAATGTAAATATTTTAAAATAATGTAAATCATATACTATGTAAATATATATGATTTAATTTGGGGGTGATTGATGTGGGTTAATTTTTTTTTAAGATTTTATTATTTACAACTTAACATTAATAAAATTGGTTTTTTAATTTCCTGTTGAGAACCTACTCTAAGTTGAAGGACCAGACAGCGTGGCGTCTGAAACGAATAACTTAGGTCAATAACAATAAAACAATAGGCATTAATTATGTATGATTTCTGTACGAGTTTTCCTGTTGTAAATAATTCAAATACTTCAATCAATCAATCAATCAGTTTTTATTGTGAGTGTCACAGTTTTACTTGAATGATATAACAGTTAAAATGATAAGCTTGTACGTGATGGAATGAAAAATGATGGGGTCGGTTGATCAGAAAATGGCCAACAACTGTTTGAAATGTGCCTAACTAAAATAATAATAAAACAATACTAGCTTCTGCCTGCGCCTTCGCTCGCGTGGTTCTTTCTTTCTAACTTCTTGTTCTTTGACGATGACGAATGATTAACTTTTAAGACAATCGTTGATACACAGTATTTTACTACCTTAGGTGTAAAATTTCAAAAAAATCCTTGCTCACAACACAAAAAGCATCAGCTGAAAAAATTGCTAGTTTGTAACCCCAGTGGTTTATGCTCTGCGTTGATAAATCAGTCAGCCAGTTCAAGTCATTTTAAGATATTTAATGAAATAATTGTACTCATTTGTCTTTCATAAGAGTATCGGTAATGAGTACTGAATGCACAACGATAAAGAATAAAACCTATGTACTATGAAACTGCAGCGATACAATATGTTCGATATCATCACTTTTAAAATCCAATCCACTGCTTGTTAAAATAGAACTCTTCATTATTGGCTCTGCATAATAATCTCAATGTATCATGTTTTTTCAAATATCTTTAATAACTTATGTTGCAGACCAGCGCACGGACGACGAGGATGTCGCCTGCAATAATAATCGAACCCGCACCATACATCGCATACATGAACGTGAAGACTATCAGGATATGCACGCCGATGCTCCACTCTCCAATGCTGATGATGCACAGGTTACGAGCTTTTGAGTTTTCATGCTTCACTTGACATCAATACCAATATTATAAATGTGAAAGTTTGGATGGATGAATTCACTCCAGAACGGCTGAACAGATCTAGATAAAATTTTGTACAGAGATAGATTATAGTCTGGAATAAGACATAAGCTGCTGTTTATCTCTCTCTCTCTTATTAAACAAAGTACACATTATCGCGGGTACTAAAAAGGACGTAGGATAGAAGAAAAACAGTTTTGTTTTCAGGTTAACTCCGAACTGGTTTTCGACGGAAGTCTCATACATATGGGGACATTTAGGGTTTTCAAAACATTTGAACTATAACTTAACTCCAAATTTACTTTTCAGCTGCCAGAAATCTTGCCAAGATCTTCCACCAAACCAACAAATCCATTTACCTCCGAAGATCAAAGAGATGATCACCGCCTCTACGAGAACCACGAAAATCTCTTCTTAAGGAACATCTCTCAACGCCAATCCAAAGAGTTACGCAATTCACGCTTACTGAGGCAGTCTTCTGAGCCACTTAGTGAGAAGAAAGCTAATGTGCTGCAGAAGAGTTTGTCTACTGAACAGAAGAATGAGAGTTCGGGTGAAGAGAAGAAAATAGAAAATAGTCCGCCTAAGTCACGGATTCCTGTGGCTAATTTCAGGTAACCAGAGAGGGTTTATAGTTATTAGCTAAATAACAATTATTAGGTATAATTTTCAATGATTTAAAATAACTTTTTTAAAGTTCATGTTAATATTTGATAAAATATCTATGAAGAAAAAAATAAGGCAGTGAAAGAAAATTATTTAAAAGTTATTTATATATCTAAGTTGGCACTTTTATCTTAGACACATTCATACTAAACTTTCACATTATAAATGTGAATGAAAGAGTAGTATGAATGTTTGTTTGAATTTGTTTGTTGGTTTGTTACGCTCTCACGCCTAAACCACTAAACCGATTTTAAAATACTTTAAGCAACGGAAAGCTACATTATCAGCGAGTAACATAGGCTACTTTTTACCGATTTGACTGACAGGCGGAGCTGCGAGCAACATCTAGTTATATACAAAATCTCATACACATGTTTTTACAGTAAATGTTTTCGTATTCCAGATACCCCAACAAAAGCGACCTTCGCTCAGCGGATTCTTCACCTCTCAAGAAATCCGACCGTCCCCCCTCCCCTAAGCCAGAAGATCCCGAAGAACCGCCCGAATACCAAAACGTTATCAAAGCCCCCGAGGAGCCTGAGCCGGTGGAGAAGGACGTGCCGCCTCCGATTCCAAGTTTACCCATCAGTCCGCGGACTTTGATTGCGAACGCTTATTACGATAAGCTATTGTCCGAACCACAAATACAACAGGTAAAACATTTTTAATTAGGTCTTCAATATTAAATATACATAAGTAACTATAAGGTCAGATGTTTTTGACTCGTACTACTTTTCTATCATAATCGGTGCTAAATACTTGATCCTGAAAGTTTTAAGGGTAAAGAATTAGAACGGGTTCTTAGCCGGTTCGAGTCCGACATCATAACGCTACCGGCCGTCCAGTAGAGGGCATTCAAAGCGGATTTCCACACTGAAAAAAAAGTGTACAAAACAACAGAGTATCTCTTATTCCGACAAAAAGTAGTCTAAGATAGATAGGAAAAAATTGCGTTATCTAAGTCATGGTTAAAACCCAATTATGAAATATTTTTTTACCAGTAATCTTAAACATTATTTAAAATAGAAATATTTCATAGTAATAATTTTTCTTTTAAGTTTCTAAGTCTATAAAAGTGCATATATATTTAATTCTCCCCAGGCTCTTCTCCCACAAAACCTGGAGAAGAATCCGGATGAATGTTTCAAACAAGCCCTTCTGTTCCCACTGATGGAAATCGACCCTCCCAAACAGTGCCTGTTTCTCCTCGTAGACGCTATTGACGAAGGAGTGCTGGGAGGTAAGTTGTTATTCAGGTTACATTACTAAGTAGTATCCATATATTATTAGTATTAATTTAGTATTTATGTAGTTATCCGTGTGGTGACGGATTAAGAATAAAGAGTGTCACCACCCCTATTCATCCCGATGGTGTCGTAAGATCCGACAAAGTGAGCAAAATATGCAGGACAACAGCACTGCAAAGAGAAGGAAAACTTAACACAAACTCGATACCAACCCGTCTGGCCAGCGTGGTATAGTAGGCCAAAACGTCCTTGTTTAAGGAGAGGCCTATGTCCTGCAATGGACTGTTATAGGTTGTTGAAGATGATGATTTATATATTAGAGGACAGGTATGGCCAGATGGATTATTGTTTACTCTCCAATCCATCTGTAACAAAATATATTTTTATGGCATACGAGCAGACGGATCACCTGATGATAAGTGACTACCACCACCCATGGAACCTGCTATTCAAAAGTCACAAGTGCTTCACCGCCTTTTAAAGTCCTCCCGTCCCAGACTCAGAGGGCCGAGTGCAAGTTTATTTCACATCGACTCGCTGTCGACAGCGAGCGCGTTCGGCGTTGTGATTGGTGAAGATTTCATTCGCAGCGCCAAACGCAGCCTCCGTTAATCGAGTAGAAGTGAAAGAAACACGTACTTGGCCCTCTGATAGACGAGGTTCGGTAAACCCACTCACTCGATGAAAAGCAGCGAACGAATTGCTTAACAGTGTGGCCGAGAGGCCGTAGTATCACTCTGATCGAGCTGGTCTATATGACCTGAAGCACGACTCTCTCACGTGACACTTACGTTATTACTTGAAAAGGGAAAGGTAAAGTTGCCTATCCTTTTCAAAATACTCCTAATTTTACAATCTTTTAATTGACTGCACGGATGGCGTAGTGTTTAAAGTGGTCACCTTACCGCTTTCTACTGCGCTGATTGTTGTAGGTTAGATCCCCATATGCGACACTTTGTGTGATCCAAAATTTGTTGTTCTTTGTGTCCGTTTGAATGAATGTTTGTAAACTCTACAGCGACACGGAATATATTCCTAGTCTTTAGTAGTAGTGTAGTCTTCAAGTTATTGCAATATACTAATCACCTTTAATCTTTGCAGGCGTGTGCGAAGACCGCGATGGCACCGAAGGTTCCACTAGCGTCGCTGGTCTTCTATCGAGACATCAGCACTTATTTCCTCAGTGGTTGCTGCTGGTTTGCACGGCCAGGAGACACTGTAGAAACCTCACCAGAATGTTCACAGGTATTGTACAGGTGTTCTTTTTAAATTAAGAACTAGAATGTAAAATGAAAAACAAAATGAACAAATCTTTAACCATGTCGCAGCTATTTGTCTGGTCAAGCCAATGTGCCTTGCAACGTCAGGTAATTCATAGATGTATAATGCCGATGACGTGGTCATGTTTATTTCAGAATTACATGTTCAGTGTATATGTACAATGTATATTATGGAACACGAAAGTTTAAATGTTCTTAAGGTCCTTATCTGACTGGGATGTGTAAAAGAAAGATAAATGACATTTGACATTAAAGAATTAGAAACAAAAGTTCGCTTTAATTCATTTTCAATAAATTAAATTGTTTAAACTATTTTAAGTTTATATCTTGGAAACCGCTATCCATGTCATATAAATATATTACCGTGGGGGAGATACGTAGCTTTGAATTGATCGTATCGCACATGAGAGGGTAACCTGTCGAAATCTTAAAGTTCGCATTAACTCTGTTCATACACATATTTTCATTTGCTGTAGGTTTTCGTAAAATAACTCTGGACGAGCTGCAGCGCGCTCACGTGTCGGCCGACGTGCAACGCTACGTGCTGGCCAGGCTCGACACGGAACCTAGACTTAGGTACGTACTACACTATAAAATAACACACACACAAACAGTGCGCGAGAATATGTTTTAAATAAAGGATACTAGATAGATATTAAATAGACATACTAGATATATACTAAATAGCTAGATTAATAAAGTCATTCGGCAGATGTACGGCCGGGTGTAAAGTGTCTCAGATTATTATTATTAAATGTTTAGAGCTCGGGTGTCGAGTGATTCCACGGCTGCAGCAGCTGCGGCTGCTGCGTTAGATCACTTGCGGATCAAGAGCGATGGCTGTCTGTTGTACCTTGAAAAGGTGAGTTTATTTTATATATATTTATTTATCCAACACATCCATAATTCTAAGTCTAATTCTAATGTTATGAAAGGTGCGCCGTTAGAATGTAGAGACAAAAATGGTAACATTTAGTATTTAAGATCATTTACGTTTAGAATATTTTTATTCCTCTTTGGTAGGTGGCCCTTATTGGCGAAGGATCATTGATCAAGTGTCTCATAAGAAGAAAAACGTAAAAAATATGATATTGGCATTACAGTATCAGCCAAAACCTCCATTCTAAGGAGAGGCCTATGTACAGTAGTGGACTATTAAAGGCTGTTGATGTGATGTGTGTGATGAGTAAAATGAAAATTGCATTATTAATAAAGTAAATCTTTCCTACACAGTAGGACACTTATATGACATGAGACTGTGCAACCTACATTTTTGGTTGCATTCAGTTACCACTGATTTCTAGTTCATTATTATTGTTTAAATTATTGACTTGACAGTAACAGTTATTTATATTAAGCAAATTCTTGAGCTTGAATCATGTAACTGATTGACGTGAACGATAATATGCTATAAGTTTTTTTATTCTGTTTTAGGTGTTAGATGGCGTAGCAGATGGTTTCATAGCACTACGCGAGATTCGCGAAATCCCGGGGACGTTGAATGGACTGTATCTATGGTTGGCACAGCGGTTGTTCCATGGACGCAGGTTCACTAAGGTAGATATCCAGTTCTACCCAAACGAGGCCAATCTCAGGCCAGCCCGGGTACCTCACCCCAGCATCTATGAATTACTCTTAGTCCTGTTACTCCATCCGAGACTTGCCCGTCCCTTCTGAAAACAATTATGTTCCCAAGGGAGGTTATCTTCAGAGAGGAGCCTTACTATAATAACCGTTTCCAATGTTGCACTTGAAATAAATTGGAGCAAGGGCTAGAACATGATTATCATGGTGATTAAGTGTCAGTTACTGATCAAGTATAATAGTTGTCCAGTTGAATTTATCACGTCTACAATATTACGCTACTCTACATATTTCTTGTGAAGACTCTTATAAAATTCTTTTTTTTTTTGAAGGACAACTCTCCCACTAGGAAAATATCCTGTGTTGTGGGGAACTTTACAAACATACTTAAACGGCCACAACACTCGGCGCTGTAGGAATAGGAATTTATATGTTCTTATAAAATACAGTAATCTGTGTGCTGTAGGTGCGTTTGTTGCTGGACGTGCTGTTAGCAGCTCGGTGTGGAGTGACAGAAGAAATGCTGTATAAATGTCTGCTCACCAAAGAGTACAGTGTCACCAGAGAAGACTTTAACAGAAGACTTCATCTGCTTAGAAGGTAACATTTATTTTACCATATTGATGAGAAGTCTTCACGTTTTAAAATATCAATCTGATGTTAAATGACAGCTGAAAATGACCTATCCTTAATTTATTATTATTTATTTTTACGAATTATTCAATAGCAGCGTTTTACCTGAAATAAAACGCATATTAAAATACTTACCTCACTGGAAGCTTTATTATGAGATGGCATTTCCGTTTCCCGCCGATTTCTTACCAGTTTTCGTACTTTTATCCCCTTTATACTTCCGGCTCAGTGGCGCCACCTGGTGGTTGCGAGTAGTTTTTAGTTTTCGTAAAAAGTATCACGCCATTTTTGTTCACTGTCTCATAACACCAGGCAGAAATAAAGTGAAAGCTTCCAGTGAGGTAAGTATTTTAATATGCGTTTTATTTCAGGTAAAACGCTGCTATTAAAACACTTGACCGTCACTGGAAGCTTTATTATGAGATCTGTTTGTTATCGCCTGGTGACGCCACTTAGATGTATATACTTGGAAGTATGTAGTGTTATAGTAAAGGCCAATGTGATAAAGCATGAAATTAAACACAAGAGTGATTAATAATTATGCATATATTTAAATAAATGTACTTATACAGCAATTCAATGAGTACATAAGTAAGTGTACTTTAGAATATAAAATAGAATATAAGAATATATTCATTCTAGGTAACCTAAATATTCAAAATGTTTATTCAGCAATTTTAATCAATTGGATTGAAAAATTGTGTGACGTTTCGTGAATCAGTACTTCTCATTATTTCTCGTCTATAAAACTGCTGGAATGTATTAGCTGATCGCCAATTTCCACGAGCCAAAATTTCGTCGAGGGGATAATTTTGGAACCAGCTTTTGGAGGCTACAGCAGACCGGGTGCTACCTGGAGTGGCTGCAATGCCAGCTTCCCCAAACAGGGTCTTTACCCACCCTGCAATGACTGTACGTGAAGCAGGTTTAGCCACACCTCTTACTCTTACTTACCTCTTTTGCCGCATTACGTCTGTCGTTTAATAATGCTATAGTTCTTTCTATCCAGAATATAGGGTCAAGGTTAGAACTATCGGTATTTAAAAGCAATTTCCAGCCGGACTGCCTGTAATTACTACCGTCAGTTTTGGAGCCAAACCGAGGCCAAAATATTATACTGTTATCAGATCGTATGCAATTATTAGAATCAATATTAAGTAGAGTAAGATCGTGTATTCGCCTACCAGAGCAAAGTAACAATAAAATTGCAGTATGACGTGACGTTTGAAATAGGTTATTTGAATCAATTGTGTAATTAGTCAAAAATGAAATTAATTTATCAACGTCCCAAACTGGAGGCTTAGTTACCTTTGGATTCTTTAGGCCAATTGATTTTAAAACATGTCTTACTAGAACGTGTGAACTTAACTGACTTGAAGTTTCAGCGTTACATAGTGTAGATATTACCGATTTATGTAAAAGTATTGAATTATACGATAACTTATCATTTAAATATAAATCACATAAAAACTGCGCTAATTGTGAACCAGAGGGATTCTTTAAATCAAGGTTTTTATTACGGCACCACGACATCCAGCGCTTCCAGGCTACCTCGTAGGTTTTTAGAGTCGATTTTCGCCAAGAATTTTTAAGCAGTGAAAGTTGTTGCGCGTTCCACGTTTTTATCGCGTCGGACCACCCCCACATTTCCAAACTTCGAGGACAATGTTCTCGACCTTCGGTGGTGGGAGTCCCGTCGACGTGTCTATTAGGTATCTCTGCAGGTTTCTGAACGTTAATGGGGCCGCGAGCGCTCGAGCTTTGAGATCCGCACGCCAGAACACTCTCTCCCATCGAGGTACTACTATTAGGAATACTCCTGTCGACTGGTTTAAGTGGGACAGGACTTTGGGGACTAGGAATGGTGGTGGAAATATCCATGCGAGCTGGTAATTCCAAGGGACACTGAAGGCATCGTGGAATAGAGCTTGAGGATCTCTTAGATCTAGAGATACATAATTGTGTACTACATGAGCAGTCTCCGAGGCAAATAGATCTATTACTGGGGTTCCCCATTTTGCAAACACTATGTCTACACAGGTCGCTAGTAAGTGCCATTCTGGAGGTTGGCGAAGGCGCGATAAGTGGTCCGCATGATTGTTGTATTTGCCCGGAATGTAGTGTATGTTGAAATGTATCTGATGTTGGTCTAACAAATTCAGAATTCGATAGGTTATTTCCAACAGGGCTAATGTCCTCGTACCTCCTTCCTTTCGCAGGTAGGCGACCGCTGTTCTGTTGTCGCTTTGAATGAGGAGCGAACTTTGCTGGAGCCAATGAACTTGGGTCTGAAGAGCGTATAATATTGCTAGCATTTCTTTTCGATTGCAATGCAGCGTTTTCTCTTCTTGCGACAAAGTTCCTGACAGAGCCAAATTGTTCAGTTGTGCCCCCCACGCTTGATCCGACGCGTCTGTAGTCAGAAAATTTATTGGAGGAGGGTACTGAAGAGGTGTTGACTTTTGTCAATTTTGGGCCCACCAGTTTAGTTCCTCTAAGACACCTTGTGGTAGTGGGTAGGACTTTGATGGCAGGACTGGCAGCGAATTCATTAAGATTAATAACTGTCGATGATTCAGCCGACCCCGTGGAACAACAAAACTGGCAAAATTTAGAAGACCTACTATTTTCTGCAACTCCTTCAAGGTTAACTGCTCTTGTTCGAGAGCCTGATTTATCTTTGTGATGATGCCCTGAGCTTTTTCTTTTGGTAGGGTTTTTTGATTTTCCCATGGTTTCCATAGTATCCCTAAATAAATTATACTCTTTTGAGGAGACAGAACAGATTTTTCGAAATTTATTTGCCACCCCAGTTTTTGTAATGTCTGTACAGTTATTTTGACATGCTCGCGAAGCATGTGAACATTCTGGTGTACTAGCAAATAATCGTCCAGGTATACCAGGATTCTCATGTTCCATTTTTCCCGTAATGTTTGGGCCACCCAGTTCGTGAGCATGGAAAAGGTTTTTGGAGCAGTGCTCAGACCGAATGGAAGACAAGTCATTTCTAGCAACTCCTGGTTGTATATTAGGCGCAGAAAGCATCTGTGCGATTTGTTTACGCTTACATGAAAATATGCTTGGGACACATCTATTTTGCACATCCAGTCCTGAGATTGCAGAAAGTCCGGAATGCGGTACATGTTTATTAAATGAAACAGTTCGGTCCTCACATATTCGTTTAGAGATTTCAGATTGAATATGGGACGGGCTGAAATTCGCCCTTTTGAAATAATTCGTCAATCTTCCCATTTAAATTATCAAAATTGATACATTCTGAATTTTTTGCCCATGAAAGAAGATCACGAATACCTTCCTGCAATGATTGTCTCTGTTTTAATATGCAGTAGGTTAAGGCTGCGTACGATTTGTCAGCATGTGCCAGATGACGTAAGGTGTCATATGCTTTTACCTCCTCATTTGTTTCCAGGTCTATAAAGCCAGGACTATGATTATATAATTTTTGCGTATCGGCGTATCTTACTTCTGACCAAGAAGTACTACCAAAACGCTGGATATCTACCAACTTCTTCAAAAAACTATCGGGGGTTTTTGGAACTAATGGTTCTTTAAGCTTAGTCTCAATGTCAAAAGTGAAATCTAAACTTGTATTTTGATGTTCTTGATTTGAACAATCCTCGTCACTAATTTGTTCATAAAGTTGACCACTAATTGCGGAACAAACAGAAGCGCTATCATAACAAGCTGTAATTCAGTCCACTCAGACCAGACACAGCCTGGGGCTGGGTATTGGAGTTGTGATTATTACCCTCCATCACTGCAAATGAATTACGTTTGCAGTGTATTTATAACACTTTAAACAGCACAGTTATAATTTAAACATTGATTATGAAAATTTACTGGTAAATATTTAAAAGTAAAAGTTCTTTCTGTTCATAAAAAATGTTACCTCTAAAAGAGGGTACTTACGGTTCAAGACGTATCCGCTTTGAAGAACACTTTACACAAATTTTTACTTAATTTAAAAATAAGAATTATGCAACTGTCGCGGATGCACCACTACTGCGTACAAGTTGCTTCGACGGAGAACAAAAAGCCAATGAACAAAAATGGCGTGATACTTTTTACGAAAACTAAAAACTACTCGCAACCACCAGGTGGCGCCAATGAGCCGGAAGTATAAAGGGGATAAAAGTACGAAAACTGGTAAGAAATCGGCGGGAAACGGAAATGCCATCTCATAATAAAGCTTCCAGTGACGGTCAAGTGTTTCAATGAAATATTAACTTCCGTAGGGTAAAATTAAATCCTAGTGTGTAATGTAAGTTGTCGCGTACTGACTGTAGAGGGCGCTTGTCAGTCAGTACTGCGTGACACACGCAGGACTGCAGAGTGTTAGCGTATTTGTCTATAGTGAGTTAACGAGCCAGTGAAGTATTTCTTAGTGTCACAGTTGACTGGAAGAGAATGCCCAGGGGCATTAAGTCCGCCGCGTAATAATCTTCACTAAATACTTATGTGTTTGATTGTTTATTTAATCGTTCTTATGTGTCAGTTAAAACGGATTTGAGAAAATATTTTTTTTTTATGTTAGAGGGGGCAGACGAGCAGCCGGGTCACCTGATGGAAAGTGACTATCGCCGCCCATGTACATTTTGTGTTGAAGTATTCTAAGAGGAAGGTTTTTATAGACTATGTAACACAGTTAGTAACGTCATAAAAATTATTTTCCTACCCAGAATCCTAGTGATGGAGCGTTCAACCGGTTACCTGTCAATCTTCCACCACTCGTTTGCCAAATGGCTGGTGGATGTGAAGCATTGCACCCGACGGTACCTGTGCTGTCCTGCGGAGGGACACGCCGCACTTGCTATGTACTACACTCTGGATGCTAAGAGGTGAGTGCCACTTATAATTGCGAAAAGAGTATTCTTAAATATAAATGTTAAGCGAAATAAAGGGGGTTATTAGATAGCCCTACAGAGCCCTGCATGTTCACTGTGTCGTACACACACATACACTCACACACACATTCATATAATATATTTTTGTGTGTTTGTTTGCTTATTATATTAAAGTTATTATTATTATTGTATTGTACACACACATGCATATAACAAATGTATGTTTTCACTGGCTTTGTCAGAATCTTTCATTGTGATCTAGTAAAAAAAGTGTTGCTATAGCCAATAAAACTAAAATCGCCGTTAGACATTATATGGCACTTTGCCACCTTTGATATAAGGCCCTTGATATTAGGTTTAGGTTATTTTCGATTCATATTATCCAGTTATAAAATTTACTTTTCACCAAAAATTATCATGTCAAACGGATTACATTTCGCTATCTATCTCAGCTAAAACCTTTAAACGAGAAATTATTGCATGTATATAATCTGAATCTCAGAAACGGCTCCAACTATTTTCAAGAAATTTAAAATGAAGGCGGTTTCGGGGGCGATTAATCGATCACAAGAAAATTCAGAGTAAGGCATCCAGGTACTATTTAATATACGTGATGACAATGTATTTGAAGCGTAAGGCCGCCAACGTGCTTGTAGTCACTTACCATCTGGTAACCGCTCTTCTCTTTTGCCCCCCCCCCCCCTCTATCGTACAAAAAAATGATTGAACTTTACTGTAGTCGTAATAGAATAGATATAGCCGTATAGAATAGAAATCAAATATAGCTCACTTAGCACCCATGATATTTTGTGGCCGTGGTGCTTCCCTGTTTAAAAGGGTGTATGCCTATTTTACTTCATTTTGTCTCCCGCTTTGCTAAGGAGGGAAGTGGATTTATTATATTTCCAACTCCAATTTTATTCTGATTTAATTTCGTTGCGGGCTCCAAGACAGTTTATTTTTTTCCTAGGACTTCCCGAGTGTCATAACTTGGTGTGTTCGTGGGTCATTGCTGCAATAATTTAAAAATTAATATTAGATATACCGCCTACACACTAGCCACTCTAACATCACATGGCGAGCCTTTCCTGTTACACACATCCGTCTCGTTTCACGAGATCACTCATGCACTATCAATAAAATAATCCATTTTGTTTCAGATTGTCTGCGTTAGAGATACATAACTACGTATTTCATATGACGAGTTTGGAGCAACATTTGTCTTCGCAAAAGAAAACCAAAAACAGGTATTTCAACTTTATTTAGACAGGTTTACATAGGTAATTTATTCAAAATGTATCACTATATACATATATATGTTATAGAGATCCCTTCACGTCTGTCTGTCTATCTATATGTTTAAACGCAATAAACTCCAAAATTGTCGAACAGATTTTCACACTGTTTTATTTAATGTTTAATATGTTTATGTATATAATTTATTAAGGTTTTCTATCGCCCTTTTTCTTTATAAGTGACCATCTTATGTACATCTCTTTCAATAAATTTCTAATTGCTAATGTGCTGAGTTGTCGGCAACAGGATTGTCAGCTATCGCCTACTTACGTGGAAATAAAAGTACTATAACTATATTATATAATGGTGTATTATTGTGTCTAATATTAGGTGTTAAAGATGGTGGACACCTATGTATTATAATTTCATTATTAATAGAAAATAAAGGAAATATAAAATTATAATTGGTAAAATGCGGACGTTTAATCCTCCTAAGTACTAAAAATAAACAATTTATTATTATTATTTTGGGTTTTAATTTTTATTTTCTCAGCTTTTTAGCTGGTTCCACCGTATTTATGGACCTAAACCAAGTAAATAAAACATGTGGTGTGTACATTATGTAGGCGTGGTGTCATCTAACTGCATGTATTTTCCGAAGATTTACTATTATTATTAATCCGCCTCTGCTCACTCTTTATTCGTATTCGTAGCTGTATATATGTCACTTAGTTCTCACTTTAACTATGATTTTGTTTCACAGTGAACAAGGAGATGATTTAGATCTCCACTCTCTCATACTGCTGTGGGTGTTAGACTCTGGCTGCGATGTTGAATCCGCTCTGAGAAAGGAGAGTGACTCGCATACACCAACTCATTTACTATTACAGGTATTTATATACGTATTTTTGTATTTAATCGTGATGACGGACTGACTGACTCTTATGTCCAGCAGTGGAATATAATATGCTGGTTTGACTTATATTTGTTTTTTTTTGTGATTGTTATACTAGAGAGGGAAAGCTATATATTAAATATTAACATATACCTGTATCTATATAGATAATAGACTTGAATTTCCATTGAATAATTCATAGACTGTGTTAACGTCTTTTTTTCATGTTCATTTCGGACATCTGACACACAACGCCATCTAGTTACGAATTAAGCAGAGCTTGTACCTTAAACGTTAGATGGACTGATAAAATTCTTATATACTCTTTTTTGGAAATACATAGATATTATACATAGAATACAACCAAACTCCGAAACAAATATTTGCAGTTTATGCAAACATTTGGTCCGACCCGTTAATCGAACCCGAGACCTCAGCGCAGAAGTCGCATACGGTACGACTGCACCACCGAGACAGTCCATGACTAGTGTAATTTGAACTGAGATTATAAGACTTTGCATACTGTGATAAGATCTACGTTCGGTTAATTTTCTAAAATTAGCTATCTATATTCTGTTCTCCTCTGTTAGCAATTTTTTTTAAATTTAGCAACCGGAGGAGAGGATATAGATTTATATAATTATTTATATGTATGTATTATGTTACAGCATTTGTCGTTGTTACAGCAGCAAGATGCGAAGAACGAAGATAAAGATGGCGTCGATCCTGATTCTGATGGCAAAGAGTCTGTGTCAGGTTAGTGTATACCTTTTTTATAGTATAGGAGTTCAAACGACCAGACGGTAAGTGAGTACAGCCGCCCAAGAATCACATGTGTTGCCACCCTTTCAATCCCGCCTCCCACAGGGGAGGGGGAATATAAAAGACTGAGATGAGCTGATGTGCCAACTTCTGAGGAGAGAAGGAACAGTGGCTTTTCCTCGTCAACCCTAACCTCTTGCAACTCACCTGATTATAGTCTAGACTAATCTAAAATACATAATAAAATCTATGTTTCCCTAAGGCAGTGTTGTGGGTTCGATCAACATATGGGACAACACTGTGTGATTAACAAATTGTTGTTCTGAGTCTGGATGTTCTTTGTGTCCGTTTAATGTATGTTTGTAAAGTCAAAAGTGCGGGAGTTGTCTTTTCAAAAAGAAACAAAAGAGAGTGGAAAATAATGCCTTATTTTCACTTTATCATTATTATCATTGTGCATTAGATATTAAAATTCAAAATAAATAAAAATTCAACAATTTCTCTAACCTTTCAATTGCAGTCCAATCAGATTTCACAAACCTCTGTCATTGTATACTTATTTGAATAATTACTGGTAAGACAGTTATGTGACCATAAACTTAGTACCTGTATAAACATGAACTTTGTACCACACAATTTATATTGAAACAATAATATAAAACCATTATTATAAACTAGGTACAAAGAATTCTGCTATGTGTGTTTCCCTATATCCCGATAAAACGTTTTTACAAGTAATTATGTGTTCAGGTCACGCTGTTTGAGGAAACAATTATTATTAACAATGATAATAATGTTTATTTAATAGTATTTTTTAACGCAATGTATATAAATGTGCAAGATCTGAAACGAGGTCGAGAATTTGTGTGGTATGTTCTCTTAACAATCATGGCAAATGTGCCAGTTTCTCAGATAAAACACATGCATATAACGTTAACTGTGGAAGAGCCATCCTTTAGCACAAATAGGCCGGCTCGACCGGAGTGATACAAACAGAGTATATCACATCAATAATATCAACAGACTATAACAGTCCACTGCTGGACATAGGCCTGTCCTTTGAAAGGAGGTTTTGGCCCACTGTACCACGCTGGCCAGACGGGTTGGTACAAGGTTTGTTTCAAGTTTTCTTTCTCTTTGCAGTGCTGTTGTCCTGCGTAATTTGCTACATTCCGTTGATAACCGGTGATAACCCAATCTTCTTGTTGCTTATCATTAATTTTATTATTTTTGAAGACAACTCTCGCAATAGGAATATATCCTGTGTCGCGGGGGTCGCATTCATAAAACGGAAACAAAGAACACCCAGACTTAAAACAACATTTGTGGATCACACAAATTGTTGTCCCATGTGGGTATCCAACCCACAACACTCCGAGCTGTGAAAGCGGCGAGGTGACCGCTTAAACCACCACGCTATCCATGCAGTCGTTTACATATAACCTTCGAGTTTTAGTATATTAGATTTTAATATGTGACGTAACAAAGCTTTGACAACCTCCCCTGTCCCTTCTCCCACAATGTCACATTTCGTTGGCCAACCTCCCCCTTAACGTAATTTATGGATAGCCCTGCATTTGCCTACCCCTCTCCATACCATAAAAATGGTGGCATACTTTTACACGATAGTTAGTACAATAAACTATACTATACTTCAGGTTCAACAAGCACGTCATTCGTTTCATGTAACCTGTCGTTTGTGGTTAGACGCAAAATTCATATTTTCCAAAGAATAAAAGTTACTAATAATTTTATTTCTAGTATAAGATACCCACTTCTTTCTTGTGGTTTCATTAATCATTTCCATTACTCAGGTGCTAATAACCTGTAGTTTCTTTTTACTCGACTGATGGATCGATCGATCGATGGATGATAGCTAGGGAGGTGTCGTTAGATTCTTCTTAGTTGTGAGAGTGACACTGGATGTATAAAAATTAAAAAAAAAACACCGGTTTTTGTAAAGGTTGTTTAGGTTCAGGTTTTTTTCTATAATTAATCTTGTTGAACTATGATTTTCGTCATCTACATTTTTACATAAAATGAATCACTGGCGGGTCCGACACGATTCAACTGATTCTGGTGAGCTGATTCAAAGGTGGGTAAAGCTTGTGAATCTTGAGTTGCAGACGTCCATGGTCGGCTTTAATCACTTATCACCAGGTATCCCGTCAAATTGTTTGCCCCCTACATCATAAAAACTATCTTACCTTCGTTTTGTAATAAACATAAATAGACGTAGACAGTGAAATATCGCTGTAAGGATAGGCACGGTTCTTTATAAAAGAGATAATTAGGTACATCTTGGAGTCATTAATCTGCGGTAATCTTTTTTTTCTATGAAAAAAGACAACTCCCGCATTAGGAATAAGTATATCTTGTGTCGCGGGGGACTTTACTCGTATAATTACACAAAACACTAGACGATGATAGCTACCAGATAAGACAATACAAAAACCTATCAACATTAGGTACAAATACTATATATTTTATCAGTTCATGTAACTGACCTGACTGTTTTTCACATTAAATATTACAATTAGATGTAATTTCGCTATCGCATCCTGTGCAGTCATGCACTAGCTGTATGCTGTGGGTTTGTCTGATAAATTTATTACTAAAGCAGAGCCTTTTCTAACCTTTAAAGGAGAATCTAAGACATATTCTATTATATTTTAAATCCAAATAGTTTAAATGTGATGATTTTCATTGTTTAATTGTGATCAAATTATTACTAGTTTATATTCAAACGTTTGATCAGTCTCAAAGCTATCGCTAATTTTAAAACTAGATGGTAAATTTAATAAGACTATGAAGTCTTATTGAATTTATGATTGATGAAGAATGAACAACATCTTTAGTTAATTATGCTGAAACTGAATGAAATTTTAAATTTGAATGCTACTTATTATAAAAAGAATACTGTGCATTCGGACCAATATTCTTCTTCCATTTCTATTTAGGCCTAATATGAATTTAGACTGTAAAACTACAACAGTTAGAAATATTTCTACGCCTGTTGATCAGAGCACACATGTACCTACTGCTTCAACTGTACTAGCTTCAACTGTACTAGCTTCAACTGTACTAGCTTCAACTGTACTAGCTTCAACTCGCCTCTTTGCTCACCCTAATGCCAATGTTGTCAATTAATTTTTACTTGCTAAAAGTTATCTATGTGCTATTCAGTACATTCTATCTCTGTGCTGAGATTCATTCAGATCAGAAGGTTAATTCTCGTAATAAAATTTCGCTCTCAATTCAGTTCCGATCAATTTTCGATCTCTGTCATAAAAGGTATTTTCATAGTAAATTATTAAACATCCAACGTGGACTGAAATGTGATTATATCGTATTTTAACCGAAGATTGAATCGGTAATCTGCAGTCTTAGGTAATACTTTAATATTTTACTACGAAAGTATCTTAAATGAAAGTTGTGAGATCGAAAGTTGATCGGAACTGAATTGAGCCCGAACTTTTATTACGAGAATTGGCCTTCTGTAATTGGTCTTCTTAGTCGTTCTGGTTTAATTGAATAACAAACATACATAAATCCATTCATCACAAACATTCTTATTATTTATTATTATTATTAATTTGATTAGTAAAATTTTCAGTTATAATCAGTTTTTTTTTATTTGAGGTGTAAAGATCAAACAAACTATAAAGTAACAAGAAAAATATATTTATCACTTAGTGGGTTGAAGTTTTATGTAATCTTACTTTTGTAATAGGCAGAGTTATTAATGTGGTAGGAAAATTAAAAGGGGGTTTAAACCCACTACAAATCAGTTCTAAAAACGGCCAAGTTGAGTAAACCATTGACGCAAACGGACAAACATACTCATCTGTTATATAGTAAAAAATATTCATTTAATGTAGTAATTAATTTATCAGGAAAAATAATGAATTATATTTCAGTATGTTTCCTGTTGTGGTGTGGGGTGTTCGTTTGCTGTGCTTATTAGAAGTTGATAGTGATTTGAAAATGTGAACTTTAAACGTTAACTAATAAGATTTATATTGTGTCAATAGGTTTTGTCTATACTCTAACAATCTCGTTAACTGGACAGAATATTTCTAATGTTTTCTTTTTTATATTCGCGGATTATACAACAAAGTTATCTCTGAGTAGATATTCATTGTGCTTTGAAAGCCATAAACAAAGTAAAAATAGTTAGATGCTGTCGCATTTTTATTTTGTATAGGAATAAAAATACAGTAAAATGTATAGCAATTATTGTATTAATGTTGAAAAGGAATGGGTGTATAGTTCATACTATCGCGACAATTATATGAAAAGTAAGTAGCTTGTTTTTATTGTAAAAACTTTTTATAACGTGAATTCGCAGCGCCCTTAGGCTTAGCTTAAGACCCGTTGCCACTTACACGGACCGTCTGTTTTCTCTGTCCGTCTAAAGAGATGGATATGCCAGTGGCAGTACAATTTATATGACAATGTTCACATTTAGACGGATCCGAGAAAAAGAACGGATCAGGGTTTTAGATTTAATTTTAAAATATCATTTTTAGATCAGTATCTTATGAAGGAATTAGCTTTCTAGGGTTTGGTTTGTGGCGTTTGAACCTATAAATATATATATATAAGCTTGTTCATATCTATTTGACTCTCGCGCATTCAGTTTATATAATTGTTTGTAATTTCGTCACTAGATGGCGTTGGCGAGCAAATTAGATCGCGCTATGGTTTGGTTACACGTCCGGGTATATAAACCTTTATTAGTTACCAATAAATAACTCGCTCTGAGGTACTGAAGTTTTATTAAAACGGGTATCACTGGGATTTGGGGTATCTTGTGCCGATAAGTTGTACAAAGCTAATGAACATAATATCGTTGTCCAATAGGAAAACAGAAATCAAATCTATCCTACCGTTCGGTAGCTAAAATTTCACGAACAGATATAAGTGTTAAGTTGAAAGTTTTGTAACGAGTTGGAACCGAGTCTGATCAGCAATAGAGTAATTATAATGCTTAACTACTTATTTTTAATCGACTTCAAGAAAAGGAGAGTTTCTTGCTTAGGCTGTAATTACGTATCATTTGGAAATTTCTTTTTGATTTGAAAGTGTATACTTGCTATCTGGTCGCATTCACATTTGAAGAGAATCCACTCCTAATGGTGAAAACTAAGGAATGAAACTTCAGTTTATTAAAATTCTCGTGATTTAATCATAGTAGTAAGGTGTAATCTTTGGTTCCATTAGCCTATTATTGGACATGTTATTTAGCTATTAATTGGAGATGATCTCTTTGAATCTTACACTTGGTGTCACATTGTCCACAGTAGATCCAACACCATTGGAAGCCATAATGCCGGAACTGATCTCCGGGGAAACGGCTGCCAGGTGGCCTCGAGACCGTCGCGTTCTAAGAGCTCTCTTAGAACTGAGCAGAACCGACTCCGTTCCAGCTGAGGAGACTCGCGAACAAATATTGGTATGTATACTTATGGATCTTTGTTGCATCTAATGCGGATTTTCTGCCTCTACCGGTTGCTATTCCAGCGCACCTCTTACGACCCCTTTTTTTTTGTGCGATAATCCCCTCGGATACCCCTCACCCTAGGTTATGTCAAACCGACTAAAAACCGCACGCCGTCTCGGGCACTAGTAGCCGGGGGAACCAGGTGTAACTTAGTAAGAAAAACTCTGGTACCACGACATACCCCAGGCCATCTATGGCTTACAGATGGCCCCCTCGTATGTGAGGATCACGGCGTCCTCTTCATTCTTAAGGGCACGCTTGCCGCCACCCCGGCCTGCTCTTACGACCCTTTAGAATAACCAGAGTATCAGTTCCGTTTTGCCTGTGATACTTGATACTTACATCTCTTACCTTAGTTCCCTCCATACGTCTTCCTTACTCCAATTTAGTTACTTCCTTTCTCACGTTTGAAAACTCTCGGTTGGGAATATTGGAGGATTGGCGTCAAGCGTTTTACGGGCTTTAAAGACCCTTTCCTGTGTTACACGTTGTACAGACACCAACTAAAAGTGAAAAGAAGGCAATAAGATGATGATGCTGACATTGTGCTGCTATTAGAATACTAAACTACATACTTATGTACTTTGTACACAGCTATCATGTGAGCAGCAGCCTCTGGAAGTGGAAGATAACCACGAAGCTACCGAGGAGCAAGAAGAAGATGTACCCCCAGATCCTAGCACAGTATACGAGTTAGCCGCTAAAGGGGATGATGAGGCGCTGGCTGTTTTGTTAAAGGTAAGATAAAATGGGTATTAATGTTTATGTTTAAAATAAAGAACTTTCGTATTTCTTATACTTATTTTAGATATTGTTTATTCCGGTAGATACTTGTAAAATATTTATTCAGATGTAGGGATTTCGGTTAGAATTAGAAAAGATTTTAGAAAAAAAAACTACATTAATCACACAGATAGCTATTCTTATTTTAATTAACAAGCAAACGGACACTATTTAAACTGCTTACAGTATAGAAAATAACGATTTATAAGAAGAATATGTTGTTCGAACAAGAAGTGTATTCCACAGCGCTACCCGGCCCTGGCAGAGGCCACGGACGCAGCCGGCGGCACAGCGCTGCACGCGGCGGCGCGGGGCGGGCGCGCTGCGTGCACGGCCGTGCTGCTGCGCGCCGGCGCTCGCGCTGACGCCGCCGACGCTGACGGCTGGAGCCCGCTGCGGGCTGCTGCGTGGGCCGGACACACTGAGGTACTGCCCACCTTCCCCACACTCTACTACTGCATTATTTAACATCATCATCGACAGCCTTTAGTAGTCCACTGGACATAGGCCTCTCCTTGGAAACGAGGTTTTATATATTTAAAAAATTGATGACCACATAGGCCAACTTTCCGCCTGATAGGATGTCCACCCGTCTGTCACGATTACTTGGATATTGCATATATTATGTTGGTTATCCTCATTTTTGCAACATTTTTTATAGATGTTCGGCGCCTATTGGTCGTAGCCTGATGTTATATAGCCTACCACTATAAATAGACTTCAACTTATGATCTACATAATTATAATACTATGTTACTTTGATTTCAAACAATAATCTAAAAAAAAAGGCGAGTAGTTCCTGAGATTAGCGCGTTTAACTAAACAAACAAAAACAAATCCTCAGCCTAATAATATTAGTATAGGTTTGTAAGAGGTTTATATTTCATTGCAGGTTGTGGAAGTGCTCCTAGAATTTGGTTGTGATGTCGACTGCGTTGATGCGGATAACAGGACCGCCCTGAGGTGTGTACAAATATTTTTGCCACTGTCCTGTTAGTGACGCTGGGTTCGATTTCCACCCAAGATAAATAATTGTGTGATGAGCACGATCATTTGTTCTGGGTCTGGATGTAATTTATCTTTGGTATGTATTTAGCAATATGTTTATTAACACTCTGATTGATGACTCCGACCTGTATATGAGATGAGTGAAGTAATTATTATTATTATTTTTATGGCTGGCCGCCTCCTTAGTAAATAAAAAAGATGTAGACAAATTAAGAAGGTTAAATGGGAGGAAAACCGACAGAGCAGGGAACCACAATTTCTACATTCAGGTTTCCGTTCCTCAGATATATGAACACAATTCTTATATGATTACTGGGTATAGACCCCTGACTGTGGGTCAAGGTAATATAAATTTTAAATCATCATCATACCTTTAACAGTCCACTGCTGGACATAGGCCTCTCCTTAGAAAGGAGGAAGGAAGTTTAGAAATTTTCAATATGGGGATAATTTTTGGATATCAATTAAAAAAATAAGGGAGGTTGGGGAAGCAGTACTACAAATTTGGATGGAGAAAATGGAATTAAGCTGCTCGAAAACGCGGCAATCGCATACCTTATCCTGTGATTGGAGAAGCTATTACAAGAGTGAACATCGAGTAGTGAAGTTCATAACAAAATTTTATTTTTGGCAATAGAGCGGCAGCGTGGTCAGGTCACGAAGCAGTAGTGTCTCGTCTCCTAGCCGCTGGAGCAGACCCTGATAAAGCAGACGCTGAAGGTCGAACGCCACTTATAGCTGCTGCGTACATGGGACACGCCGAGATAGTCAGGGCGTTGCTGGACGCTGGAGCGAAGATTGACCATGCGGATGAAGATGGTAAGTAAGAGTCGCGATGGAGTCGTTTTATTTCACTTCACTTTAAACATGTTTGGCGTGAATCATAGCAGAGTTGAAGTTAGTAATTGAATCCACTACTATTAGGTCGCACGGCGCTGTCGGTGGCGTCGCTATGCGCGTCCGGATGCGCGTGCGCAGCGCTGCTGCTGGAGCGCGGCGCCGACGTGTCACGCGCGGACCGTGACGCTGCCACGCCGCTGCTCGTGGCCGCCTTTGAAGGACACACGTGAGTACACTACACTATTTTTGCCTCGTATCCACGTCTACAATAGTTTAAAAGTTGATGATTTATGAGGCGTGGTAGTCCACTGTAGCGTAGTAATCCACTAGGATTATTCGATAGAAATGTCTGAGGTCGTAGGTTTGAATTATCGACCTTGTAAATATTTGAATTGCATGGATTTTTTGTGTGTTTAGTAACAGTTAACATGTGTTTACAGTAAAAAAAGGTGGTTATAAATTAGGTAGGGGTGCAGCGGCAGGTTTTTCTCCCCGATAAATTAAATGTATTGTTGTACAAGTTATTGTTGTGTTGCTTAGCGAGATCTGCGAGCTGCTGCTGGAGGCGGAGGCGGACGTGGAGGCGCTGGACGGCGCGGGGCGCACGGCGCTGTGGGCGGCGGCGGCGGCCGGACACGCGCGCACTCTGCGCCTGCTGCTGTTCTGGGGCGCCTGCGTCGACAACATGGACGCCGACGGGCGCACCGTGCTCAGCGTGGCGGCCGCGCAAGGTACCCACCGGCTCTCGACTATTCGATTCATGAGAAAAATCCCTTTCCTTCCATTACCGTTCCTTCATTAAAAGGGGAAGTAACGGAAGGAAAGGGAGATTTTTCCTAAAATGAACTACATACTTTAAATTAACCATACATTTTGCTATATTTAATTTCCAAAATACTTAGTTGTCGGCAATAGGCTAGAAAATTAACTTATAAATTTTTTTTTACAGGAAACGTGGAGGTAGTACGGCAGTTGCTCGACAGAGGACTCGATGAACATCACAGGGATAATTCTGGCTGGACGCCGCTACATTATGCCGCTTTTGAAGGTACCGATTTTGATCTATAACAGACATTTATAACGATTTTTAATCTGAGTTTGATCTATCATAATATTCAAATGAAGCATAATTAATTAATTAAATACCATCCATTTGTTTATTATACTATATACTAACTCAAATATCTCAAACGGGCGATGCGTGGTAACAGGCTTCGAAAACAATTAACAACATATGACTAAAGATCGACTTATGCTTGTTAAAATGAGTGATTCATTCTTTTCATTCATTCATTCGTTCGTTCGTGTCTTATTGTCATAGTAATATAGGAATTGGTTTTTATCTCAAACTTGATTGTTTTCTTTAGGTCACATAGAAGTATGCGAAGCCTTATTAGAAGCTGGAGCGAAAGTAGATGAAGCGGACAACGATGGGAAAGGACCTTTGATGTTGGCAGCTCAGGAAGGCCACACCAGATTGGTGGAACTCTTGCTGGACACATGGGGAGCGCCGGTAGATCAGCGGGCTCACGATGGAAAGACCGCATTCAGGTCAGTAAAACATTGTTGTTGTTTGTGGCTACTTCTTTATACAATAAAAATATATTGCAAATACCAACAGCCTGAAGATGTGTGTGTAATACAAAATGGTTGCGAAATTCCTATAAAGCAACTCGTACTTTATAGTGACGCCATCTATCGAAGACAAGCTGAACTACTTAGTAACTGATAATCCTGCATCGCGCAATGAAACCTCTCTGTATTTAGTGTTACTGCGTTTACAACTTCCTATCATTAACCGTCAGGCCGTGGTCCGCTGGGTTAAATCACTTCGCCGGATCGACGGATCCTCCCTTTACACTGCAAACATATGGACATAATATACGCCTCTCCATATTTAAAATATTTCGTTCGTGGTTATTATTATTTTTTTTGGATTCCTCACTTGTTTATGATATTGCAAGGGTCTTTGTCGTTGTCTGAAACAAAAATAATAATATTGTCTCTCATACCTCGCACGATTGCTATACCTACAGTTTGCATATTCCGCTAATGACTTGGCATAGTATGACTTATTAAAGAAAACAAACGTATTTTGTGTACAGGTTGGCAGCCCTAGAGGGCCACGTGGAGACGGTGGCAGCCCTGCACTCTCGCGGCGCGGACGCGGACGCGCTGGACGCGGACCGGCGCAGCACGCTGTACGTGCTCGCGCTCGACAACCGGCTGGCCATGGCGCGATACCTCATCACCCACTGCGCCGCCAGCGTCGACACCACCGACAACGAGGTGACCACACACACATATATATCATATCACATATCAAAGGAAAGGATTTTTTGGCCTACTGTACCACGCTGGCCAGACGGGTTGGTAGGTAGTTTGTGTCAAGTTTTCCTTCTTTATGCAGTGCTTTTGTCCTGCGTAGTTTGCTCCCTTAGTCGGCTCTTACGATACGTCACTACATGGATTACGATACTCGTATAGAATGTGTGGAAATCCATATAATACGAGTCATGCTTTGGTCATACGTAAATGAAGATATGGGCGGGCTCGAACGGAGTGATCCCACGACCTAACAAAAAACTGCAGCAGTTCTGACGTTTCTTTGAACTGAGTGAGTGAAAAACCCAAAGGCCCATTACTCTTTCCTCCCGCTCGCCCATCATTCAAGTTAGTTTTAAGCCCTCAACGGGTTTAAAACGTACTTGGATGATCGATTGTGATTGGAGGACGGGATACATGTCTTTTTCCGTTTCTTTTATGAAATAATTAAAAAGAAAGCTTTGACAAGTATTGTTTTGTACATTACTCGTGTTTTAGAAAAGCGATATTTGTTAAATTATAATGTTTGTGTAATACAGGGTCGAACTCCGCTTCACGTGTCAGCGTGGCAGGGTCACACGGATATGGTTAATTTATTAATCAAAGTTGGTGAGTAATATTTAGAATAAATGAAGTATATAAAATTAGAAAAAATAAAAACGGAAATATTTAGTTCAGCACGGCTGTACTATAAACTGTTTTGAAATAAAATGTGCCTAATATTTAAAAAGGATAAACGGTTTTACTTACATGTGAATTTCGGGGATGTATTAACTAGTTTTTCAAACTTGATAGGGGGCCTTTTTTTGTTGGGTGAAGCGATATTTGCCGTCGTTGTCAAGCGTAGTACTGTCGTAGTTAGAGGGTTTAGTGTGACGTACATACTGAAATATTAGTTACCGTTAGCGGCTGGTTTATTCTGTATGTTCTACGTTTCAATCGGATCATCATTATATTTTACATACGAGTCAGGGGTCCAGAAAAGGAGAGCTACTGCACGAATCATGCAGTGGTTTGGGCGGACATTTCGCCGCTTCCGACTGTGCCGTGATCCCCAAATAATCGTTCTGGGTCTGGGTGTTCGTCTACTGCTTCACAGGATATATTCCCAGTGTGGGGGGGATGTTTCGTTTAAAACTGTATTTGTGTGTGCAGGTGGCGCGGCGGTGGACGGGCGCGACCGCTGCCTGCGCACGGCGCTGCACGCGGCGGCGTGGCGCGGGCGCGCGCTCGTGCTGCGCGCGCTGCTGCGACACGGCGCGCACCCCGCCGCCGTCTGCACGCAGGGCGCCACGCCGCTGGGTCAGTGCACGCTCCGTCCCACTACGCTACCTTTTGTATACATCGTCAATGTTTTCAAGGGTTTAACTAATTATTATCCCCATTTTTTTGAAACGCTGATGGCTGCCTATAGCCAGCTAACTTTGATAAATTATAAATAATATAAAATCAGCACTAGATAGAACTCAAAAGCTACCACGTGATTTAACTGTTTTCTATTATTACAATTATTATTTTTTTGACAACGATCCTCCAGTTAATAAATTTATTATTTTATGTACCATGTAATATGTACTTTTCGCTTTCCTAGAGTGATTTTATCAAACGAAACAAAAATGTATTACAACTAGCACACGCTTCACGCGTCTCATCAAAATCTTACATGTATCTTAACATTACTTTGGTTAATAATTTACAATTTTTGATTAAATAGGTATCGCAGCCCAAGAAGGACATGAAGAATGCGTGTTGTGGCTGCTTCAACACGGAGCTGATCCTCTCCAAGCAGACCATTGTGGTACGTAATATATACTTTTCATATAAATAAACAAACCTCAAGGCAGTAAACATTGTTTAACCGATGCTACTGATTCTACGGTTAATGCCATAAAAGAGGTCATATAACTATTAAACATGTTTTAACGAATACTTTTACCCATCCAATTCACATGGAAGAAGAATTATCTTTCTTTTTATCTAGGATTTCTCCTTTGACCAGTTTAAATGAGTGCCAAGAGCGAGGGTTATTAATACGATACTCGCGGTGGCCTAATTTGGTTTTATCTTTATTAATGCACTAGCCATGAGATGGCGCTCCTCCATTCGCAATATAACCTACTGAGTTTTTAAAGCTTAATTATAGGTGTGACATCGTGAGAGTTGAATGAGAGATCGAACATGATATAAAGCGTTCGGTTCCCCGTGTGCAGGTCGTACCCCTGCGAAGGTGGCGTGGCGCGCGGGGCACGCTAACATCTGCCGCCTGCTGGAGCGCTGGGCCGCTCCCTCCGCGCCCGCCGCGCCTGCTGCCGCCTCTGCACACCCTGCCCCCACGCCCGCCCCCGCCCCCGCTATCGCTGCACTCGATCTGCCACATCAGACACCTCCTAATGCCGGTATGTACTTAGCCTTCAACTACAGTCTATTCGCGTTAAGAAAATAGTGACGCACCGAGCAAGCACCGCCCCCCCCCCACCTGACCAACCAGGATTCAAGAAATTAACGTTTCGTACGAAAGCTTGAAACCTGCTTGGCCAAGGTGCGACGATTGATCGATGCGTCCCTATTGCGTCACTATTTTCTTAACGTGAATGGACTGTAATCGGATAACGTGTAGTCATCTTTTCATTGAATTTATTTTACTTTCTAATTCTAATTTATCATCAATAATAATAATATAAACGTATTATCCACAGGTTCACCTGAATACAAACGACGAAGCGTCCACAGTTCGAACTCAACGAAATCATCGTCGAACATGACGGGCGGGTCCGCGCGGTCCCACGAACCTCAGGAACCGACCGACAATACTCACGAAAAGGTAATCTATATACATAATGTTACAGAAATCTGTGTGCTTTTAAGATCAGGAAGATTTATGTTTTAAGAAATTTCATTTAACCATCTTTGTAAAATCATGATGAAAAAGCTTATTCTGAGTAGATTTGTACTTCTTGAGTGTCCAAAAATTGTTGTTTGTTTAATATTTAAGTAAAATATACGAGAGGAATATTTCATGATCATCAACAGCCTATAATAGTCCACTGCTGGACAAAGGCCTCTCCTTAGAAAGGAGGTTTTGGCCTAATATACCACCCTGGCAAGACGGGTTGGTATAGGGTTTGTTTTAAGATTTCCTTCTTTTTGCAGTGCTGTTGTCTTGTGCAGTTTGTTCCCTTAGTCGGCTCTTACGACACCCACGGGATGAATAGGGGCGGTGACATTCCGTATCCTTAATCCGTCCCCACACGGATATTCACATCTACATAATATAACATTTTAAGCCAAGGTTCCATAAATTTGAAAACTATGAACAACAATTCTCATTGATTCGCTTCTACTGTTAGCCGTATACTAGAACTAGAATTAGAAGGTAACTTTGAATGTACATCCGATGGCAGCCTGCTTTCATAGTCGGGCTATACCCTGTATAAAGATCGAGAAGGTTCGTCAACTTTCACCGAACTGTTCTTTTTAATCATGTATTATTAAAACCTGGTAACACATGACATTTATTGCAGCCGTCTCGTGCCCACCTCTCGCTGTCATTCGCTCAACAAGTAGCGAGATGCGGGCGACGAAGGGAGCCTGAATCTCATAGAGAACCGCCTCAACACCACGCTCAAGAGAGGGATTCCAAATTAAGGTATTTATATATTTATAGCAAATATATAATTTGAATTTGAATTTGAATTTGGTGGTGGTCGACATCAGACATTGTAGAGTACACAATGAATCAATATAATAGGTATATGTCTAAAAAAAGATACAGAGTAAAGAGTATTCCAACCCCCAGGGGTGTAATTTTTTAAAATTCTTTCTTAGTCCTTATGCTTTTAGACACAGCGGTTTAAGCTGTGCGTGAATCGATCATTCAGTGAATCAGTCTGTCAGTTTCTTCTTTTATAGATATAGATATGTACTATGCCACGCTGTGGCATGTTATGGTTGCATTGATTAGAAATAAGGAACAAAACTGACCCAAAATATATATTAAAATAATCTTTGAAGCACGATGTATATCGAGTCAAAATCGGTGCAGAACTCAAAACTCAAAAAAACTTCAATGACTCAGTTTAACGTTTTTATACAGATACATTGAATCGTATTCATGTAATATCGCCATGATTATGTTTTACTGCTGCTTAGAGTGTATAAAATATCTAAATATTAAATGTCGAATACGCACTGATGGGTCTCTATTTGTGTTGGACAATAATTTAGTATAATTAATAATAAAAAGCCGTGTGGTGTCGTGGGACACCCGATAGGAACGAAGTTGTTAAAAGTTAAAACTGATTTGACACGATATTAATTACAACGCCATCTATGAAAGCGGCTATTACACACGTTTAAAATAATTAAAACAATTTATATATTGGTAAAATCTCCTTGCGAAATGATTTCCTATCTATTCAATAGATGCCGCTGAATGTCTGACAAGATGACACGAAAAAATATTATTACTAATCATAGTTCATACTTTCATCAAATTCATGGCTTACGTTGTATGTTATAATAAGATTTACTTTAATTTAAAAAAAACTTTGACTGAAATCTGGGTAATAGTGTACATAGCATCAACTTCTTTTGATCATTAAAGTGTTTTGAAATATATTTACTTAGTTTTATTTCCTAAATTCAAAATTTGAAGAAAAAAATATAATGTTGACATTTGGGTAGGCCGTGGAAACACTCAAAACCACCAGAAAGATAATAAAATATGAATTAACATTACAAGCCTACACTATACTCACATTTACATACTTACACAAAAAAAAAACTATACAATTCAAATTCAAAGAAAAATAAAATACGAAAACAAAATACGAAATACACCAAAAAAAAAACCTGCGGTAAAAAATTAAATAAAGTGCAAAAAGCCAACATCACCGGCGGTCATCCCAGGCGGTCACCCATCCAAGTACTAACCACGCCCGATGTTGCTTAACTTCGGTGATCGGACGAGAACCGGTGTATTCAACATGGTATGGACGTTGGCGAACGTTAAAGCAAATTTAATGTATGGTATCCACAGTTAGACGTCAATTTATATTAATAAAAAAGTGTCGCGTCCCAAATTTTTGTATGAATTTTTTCCGTCTAGCCCCCTTTCACAACGCGCGATAAGGAACTTCGTTCCAATAATCTTTATTGTCACAAAAATTATACAGTTCACAAGGGTTCACACTTATAATTTGACACAATTAAATGTATTTAGGTACTGATACTGTCTCCCAAACTAAGCGAAGGCTTGTATTTTGGGTTGCAGTTTTCAGTCGTGTATTATTTATTTATTTATTAATTGGTTAAAACGTGATATGCGTGTGCGCAGGAGTTACCTGGCCAACGAGCGCGACGCGGAGCTGTGCGCGTGGAGCGCGTGGCGCGGCGACGCCAGCCCGCTCTACGCCTCGCCGCCGCGCACGCCCATCAGCGACATCTGCAGCCCCACGCAGCCCGCGCTCCCCGCCCACACCGCCCACACCGCCCTCCCCCACGGTAACCACCGGTCATATTCGTATATAAATACATAATTCTTAATCTTTACTAGAAGATTAATCGAAAGCTACTAAACAAAATGTGATGAAGAATTTTTTTGTTTTTTATTTATTGAAAATCAGTTGTCAAACTATGGCAAAAATGATTCTCAACTGTTGTGTTTTTACCTATTCATACTAATATTAGAAATACAAATCGAGACATAATTACGATAATATTTGTAAAGATTGATACGATTTTGCTTATGAGACTACGATGAAAATATTTTCATTCGTTTATAAATCTTTTGTCCTGCAAAAAATCCTGAAATTATTAAGCTTATAGCACTAGTATCACAAGTTTTCGATAGATATATTTTTTTAAATCATAATTGCTTCTACCGGGGAAACTTAAGTAATACCACGAATTTATTAAACAATCTGTTCCTTAGGTTCTCAACCACCAAGTCTGACAACAGTGCAGCCTGTGCTCACCGACACACACTTCAACAGAGACACACACATGCGAATAATCTTAGGGAGGGATAGCAAACCGCCACAGGAACGGTCTGACAGGTGAGGTGAACTAAACTTATGGTAACTTACAAATATTCTAAATATATGTTCAAATCGGTTAAGCCGTTACGGAGAAGTGCGACCACAAACACCATGAACAGAAATATTTGTATCTTAGATAATTAAATATAGACAATTTAGCACATCAATAATAGGGAATATGCATGTATTTTTTTTATTTTTTTTAACGATTCTACTAGTTATTACATTACCAAAAATAAATATAACACAGCCGAAATATAAACCGTTAAGCAAAAAAAAAATTATGGAAATCACTATCATTTTGGGGCAATTTGAACACGTCCATTTTTTTGTGACGTCAGGTTACACTTTCAGACGAATTCGATGTCAACAACGGAGTGAAGTTCACAAAGTTTCTAAAAGTTAAAAAAGTGAGTGATAAAAATTAACTTATTACCATGGAAAGCCAATAAAAACTTAGTATAAATATTGTGCCGTTCCTTTGTGCCCAAATGATATCAAAACTGCACCTGACAAAGTATATTCAGTCATTGTGTTGAGTCTTTCTACACGGGAATTTAATAATTTAACACTGAAACATATTAGTTATTACCTTAAAATGAAACAAATAATCACCAGAAACCAAATATTACAAATACACACAACTTGTTGACACTCTTGACAGTGTAGGTTGACGTCACGTTTTATTCAACCAATAGCGTTGCGTTTTAGAAATTTGCGAGGGAATCTTAAAAAAGCCAATTTTTGATTATTAAATTTCACTATTAAATTATAATAAATTTCAAAAATAATTGTATGGGTATCTTTTTTTAGCAATAAAAATTACAAATAAATATATTTTATCCATTTTGGTGTCACGTGCATATTCCCTATTCACATAGAGAAGAGGTGTAAAAATTAATTTTTAATATTTCTTTAAAATAAGTGAACAAAACAAATTTAAATACAAGTATCCAGTAAATATGTTGACCTGACATACTACGCAAAGTCTATACAATGTAAATTCAAGTTGGCTGGAAAAAATAACTCTATTGATATTGCAAATAGGTAAATAAAATGAGAGAAAACAGTTAATAAATAAATTAACGTTGAGCTTAGACCATGAGGCGATCTAGATTATGAATAACAAGTATTGCAGTCTGTTTAAAGTTATTCTACCTATAAAAAATCACCTCTTAGAGAATTTAGTTAGGAAACTAAAAAAATAATTTAAATCCAAATTAAATAATATAAATTAACAGAAGCATTAAGTGTAGTTAAAGTTAAATAAAAAATAATAATAGCAGATTTTTTTTACTAATACATAAAAAAACATGCTTATTTTCATCATCAGACTTATTTTTGATTTAGGCTTAGTACAAGCCTAAATCTTAGCAAAGGTTTTAGATATCGTGTCTGGTTTAAAGTATTTTCGTTGCTTGCATAATATTTATTGTTATCTGAATACATACATATATTGTAAATTTGTTTATTTAAAATGCATCCGTCTTGTAGCATAATATACAGTATGCTTCTGTTAACATAACTATATCAGCTTTTGGTGTATATCTAGTGGTGATGTACAGGATCGCTTGAAATTTATATCTGCGGATATGGATAAGAATTATTAGTGTCTATAATATGTCAGTGGATACTGATCTCAAGTATTATCCCACGACAGTTAATATGGAAGATCAAAACACACATGTTTCAAATTAGATTGCGCCTATTTCTTTAAATAATTATTTTATTCCACATATAACAAACGGCTTGACCTTGTTATAGACATAGTCAAATTGTCCCTTATAATTGTCAATAATATTATTCACTTTTATATGACTTCTTATAGTATTTAATATTAGCAAATTAATTAAAGTAACTTATATGGATTTTTCTACCTCGGATATCCCTGCCTATTCTTGGCCCTATTTAACAAAATCGACATTGCCTAAATGTACTATGTGCGAACATAAAAATTTACTACGAGAAAATATATATATATATATATATAGACACAGCCACGTCTGTATCCGTAAAGGTGTGAGCAGCAGCGTAAAAAAAACAGCATTTTGCTCACTCGAATATGGTTCTACTGACATATAAGCCTGACTATAGAAAAGCCGGCTAACGAAAATATTGTTAACCGGGTAAAGCTGGGTCAATAGAGTATATTGAAAGGGGATAAATGGAGCTTTAATTGTTTAACTAGTCGAGTCAAATGAGTTAGTCGTATTACGACTAAAACTACGACTAGGTACATATCATATAGAATCCTTTCAATATTTACTATCCAGAATTATTCAATTAAAAAAATTAGTCCCAAAGTTTCCTTTTTTTTTGCTCTGATATTACAAGTGGTTGATTGAAAAGTGTTGCTGTTAAATGCATCGAAGCCTTCAATGTTAATATACTTATATATATTTATGCGAGTAGTGAGCTGTGGGGGGCGATGGGTCGCGTTGTGTACAACAGGCTTGTGGGGAGTATCGGCCGCGCCAGGGGCAGGATATTGAAGAAAACGTGAGTCTCCGATACGGATGTTTCTTTTTTAAACTGAGGTGGGACTGTGTTGTCAAACAGCTTTTTTTTTGTTGAGGCTTAAGAAATCTTCACTATTTTTTGGGATTGATATCAGAATGTGAAACAGGAACAGTTGACTTTTTTTTTATTCTCAATCTCCTTTTTATGTTAAATTATTAGAACTAACTTTTAAAAAATTAGAAAATTATGTTAGGAAAAAGAAGAAGTTAAGAAATCAGTTGTAGAAAATGAGAATATTATCCAAAGTCTTAATCAGAACTGTTTAATGTTAATGAATAAGAATCTTCAGATGTCGTTATGAGATGACGATAAGACATAGAGAGGGTTAATTTATTCAGATAGGCGTAATAGTTTAAGCAATCACCACGCCGCTTCCGGCTACGCTGAGTGTTGTGGGTTCGATCCCCACATGGGACGACACTTTGTGTGATCAACAAATTGTTGTTCTGAGCCTGGGTGTTTGTTTCATGTATGTGTGTAAAGTCCCCGGATATATTCAGTCATCATAAAAAAGAAAATAAAAATCAACCAATCGAATCGACACTCTGTAGTGTAGTAGTAGAGATATGAAAATTATAAAAAAATAAAATGCCGGTTTTTTAATTATAAGTACTCAACCTATACACCTTCACGTGTTCGGGTTTTTGTTTTTTTAATAATTAGCTTGTTACTTAAATTCGTTTTCTTCATAATTGTAACATGTTTTTTAAATATCTAAAATAATGTACGAAAGACACACAGTCTCACCTGCAGTTCGGCTGGGATTGGCTACATGGCTGGTAAATAGGCTCAGCTGTAATTAGGCTTCTCATATCATCATCACCATTCATGTTTTAACCAACTGGAAAAGAAGGCTTTCAATTCGACTCATATTTCTTGTGGTTCCGAAGTGCCATCTGTTTAAGGACATTATTACAGTGTGTTACTGTACTGAATAGTCTTATTAAACCCTTAGCTATTATTTTGCCATCTTTTTCTTACTTTTCATCCCTTAAGCAATTTCTTTCTCTCTCGTTACAAGGGCATATATAAAAATAGTTTTATTTCTTGTTTTGTCTTCTTGTAATAAAAAAAAACGAGAGAATCCAATTTTTTTTTAATTGTTCGATTATTATACCATTCGAAATTGTTTTGAACTTTAACCTTTTTATTCAAATTTTTTTATTGTAAAAGAGGCGGTGTATCATCCTTTTCTATCATAGCTCCAAATAATATTGTCAAACTCTGCCAGTGGGGGGTTTTCCTCATCAGGTTATTTGTATCGAAACATTTACGCTCTCCTTAAATTGTTAAATATAATACTAACTAGAATTATTGATAAAATTTCATTACCGCAATTTCTTTACCATTCTGAAGTAAGCAACATCTTAAATTAAATGTTAAGGAATTGCTTAAAAAAGTTTCAATTATTTTTACCAAACAAGACAGTTTTTAATGTATCTACCGCAATCCTCGGAATATTTATTAACAAAGGTCCATCTTTCATTGGTGCAAGTATCTAATATCCCATTAATAACTATTTTAAACTAAACATCTGTGGTGAGCTTTTGGCGGCTACTAACAAACTAATGTACAGAGTCTGAAATCGCATGGTTTTATTTTAACAGAATTAGGAAACGTACCCATACTATGTGACCCATTTTTTCCACTCCTCTTCCTCCCCCCCTCCTCCCTCCTTATGACCACCCGCATATGCCAAGACCCCCCTAGGGGAAAGGGAATTTAAAATATTTTTTTGCAAGAGGAAAGTTAGAAGCGCAAAATTCTCCTAGAGAATTTAAGTACTTGTCAAAAATCTAAGCTCTCCCTGCGCTCCTGTGGCCAAGCGTGGTATTTTGATGATCCCCTTACAACAGCTTCCCCCCCACCTAGGAACGACGAGTCACGTGGTAAGGCTATGTTCCCATATGGTTTGAGGAACGCATGTTACTTGAATATCGAGAATGGTATGGTGGTTTAGTATTACTTTTAATCATGATATACCAAAGGTATGGTAGTGGTGCGTTAGTCAGTGAATGCGGACTATAAAATTCTATTTTAAATGTATTAGAATATCTTCTGCGTCATATCGTTGCCGGTAAGAGTTGCTTTTATACGAAAGCGGCATTTCTGTCTGATTTCCTTATTCCACACAAATAACTACAAAACGTAATTTTTTTGATCTTTAACATAAAGAAATTGATTGCATTGACACTGAATCATTAATATAAATATTTATGTTCATACCCACGTCTTTATTTACTCCAACTTAACTTCTGGGTATCACTGGTACCCATAACATAAATATAATAGTAGCTTGGGTAGCAGACAGAAATGTCTGGTACTTCTAAATCAATATTTTATTATGTTTTCAATAAGTTCCAGACGTTCTGATCTTTTAAATAAAATACCATACCTTCATTATGTCATACAAAGTTTTACACCTGGTATGGATACCAGTCTCCCACGAAGGAAATAAAAACCACATACTTTAATAATTTTCAATGTTAAGGAACCTTTGTGGAAGAGAAATAAACGTTTTATTTTTAATTTATAGTGTATAACTGATGCTAGATATATAGAGATATATAGAAAACTCTTTATTTGTACACCGTTTTACAAGAAGTATGGTACATAAAGTGTCAAATATGATGTACAAAGAGGGGCCTTATTGCTAAAAGCAATCTCTTCCAGTCAACCTTAGGATGGATCAAAATGTTCCGGAGAGACAGTATTAGTTGACCGTGCCATGAGTTGCAGCTAACCTTTATGTCCCGGAATATTTATTAAACAGACAACTATAAAAAATCCTGTGAACAATAGACAGAAAATGCATGCTTTTAGCAATATGTATGAACTATAAATAGTGTTCCATCTTTAAATACCCTGTTTTAATGCAAATAAATAATAATAATAAGAAATATTTCGGACACACAACGCCACCTAGTTGCAAACTAAGCAGAGCTTCAATCAATCCAGCAGTCAATCCAGCTCATATAGTAATATATGAGCTGGATTGACTGATAGAATAATCATATACTTTTTTTTCGTAAATACATACATATAATAGTAAACGCCCAAACTCCGAAACAAATATTTGCAAATCAAACATTTGGTCTGACCCGTGAATCGAACCCGAGACAGCACAGGGTTCGCATACGATACCACTGCACCACCGAGGCAGGTGTTTTAATAACAATAATTATCGGGGTACGTCATACAAAAAAAATGTCCTGTGTGGGAATAGAACTCCGAAAAATCGAATATTACAGCAGTAATATTTGTAAATATTGTGTTTAAGTTTTTTCATAGTTTCGCATTTTTTAATACCATGGTATTTTTTTTATAGCAAAAACAAACGAAACGGCATAGTGACCAACCCAGCGATGCGACTGGTTGCCAATGTCAGAAACGGACTGGGTTAGTATCACAGCATATTTTTTCGAGGTTTGCCCAAAGGAATTCAGAATAAGGTTCTTTAAGTTTGTGGATAGTTTTTTAAAGGGTTAGCAACGGGCAACGAGTCCTCTGTAGTTTTATGGTGTTCGCTAACGATCATGCAAGCCATCAGCAAACAAACATACAGCTTGATAAGTTTTTAGAAGCGGCATGTTTATCATGCTTATTTTCAGGAATTAGTTTCCGATATTTGGCAAGCGCGATGATTAAGGAAGAACTTTCCAAAACTCACTAGAAATTTCTAAAAATTCATCAACTGAAAATGCAGCTCTTCTGATTTCTTATGTACATATTACCGAACCTGTGCAACTTTTGATCCTAAGACCTGCACCTCTCCTACTGTAATAAATAAACATTCTCATTTTCTAGATAATGCAGCTGCAAATATACGCCGTACGGGCGTAGCGTTAGCAGCCAGCGCCAGCTCTGCCAACCCTGCGGTGAAAACCAACGCTTTTCAGTGGAGGAAAGAAACTCCTCTATAAAAGTGGAGGGCCTTTCGTCGAAAGGAGTTCAAGAAGACTTGTGCAAGTAATAAGTAGCTATGAGGTAACAATGACATCAAATCAGGATGGAAGCCTATCAGAAACCTTGTGGATTGTTGCGGTCACCATGACTACGGAATGGTTGCTGTGACCACAGAATTGTTGCTGTGACCACAGAATGGTTGCTGTGATCACGGCATAATTGTGATGTGAGTACTACAGAGTTGTCACCGCCGCGACGGTGATGATCGACGCGTCGATGTGGCTTTGGAGTGGTTGTGATCACTGTGACCACAGTGTGATCGCTATCAATATTTATTAAGCCTTAATATCATATTAATAGAAATGATTTATTGGTTCTAATAGTGTGTTCATTTTTTTTTACTGTATTTGGGATACATCTTGAAAAAAAGAAAATTCATTTATTTATGATGTCAATAAATATGTATGTAGTACACAAATAAAAGGAATAATTTTGTTATGTCGAAAAAAGTTTCAAATGTAATTCAAGGATAGAGCATCGGTATTTCAATACTTTTAATTTTGAACAACATAGTGTCAGTTTCAGATAATTAAAATATAAATACCAGTTATAGCTACCTATTCTCTGCACAAGTGTATATGTGTCGCTAGTCTTCTATATCGTTAATATGTTCCGGGAAACGAATATTAGATATTAGTTATTACAGTAAATATTATCTTGATTATAATAATAGTTTGTGAAAATTTAAAAAAAAGATGTAGATTAAAAAGTTAAGTAAAACATTATTATAATGTAAAACTAAACGTGTATATAACTTACATACGTATACAAACACAAATATATAAATATTATATATAAAGTTTAAGAACAGACAAATTAAAGAAAAATGCTTTCGGTCAGCAACGAGACCCGGTACACTCAAACTGATCGGTCCCCTAAATACAAAAAGCTATACAAAAGCTATGTTAGTTTTTATTATTCTAATGTTAATCAATAAAAAAAACAAACAGAAAAAAAGGAAATCTAAAATAGTACCATAGTAAATATTTTTAACAAAAATTAATAAATGTAAAATTTTAATCAAGTTGTAAAAAAAAAAATAGTTGAAAATAATATCTCTTCTCTTCTTCAGGTCTTCTATGGATTTTTTGTTAGCTTTAGTTCCATTTTCGAACATGACTCAGTCAATGTACCGATTGCTAATGGCTTTCCCACTTTCAAACAACTAATTAGTCTCAATAACCTTATCTCAATGTGTCTAGATTTCATAGTCATACTAGTTTTGTACTCTGCCACGGTTTGCTGTGGCACATTAATGAGAAAAAAAACTGACTTTTTTATATTTATGGTCAAGTGTATTTGACCGATCTTTTTGAGTGGATTTGCAAATGACAACTTACAGCATAAAGAAGTCTTAATGCAATAAGTGATTTTAATAGGCCTTAAAACTCATTTCATATTTTATTTTGATCAAAATATTTTTATAAAACTTTTGTATCAATTAGACTGTTTATTTACTCATTACCTAATAGATATGTTATAGTCATGATAAAGCGATGCGATACGATGCCTGCAATATGTTTGACGTCTAACATCTATCTCTCTCTGTCTCGCTCTCTCTTTATCTCGCTGCTCTGCGAAGTGTGGGCGTGGTTTTCTTAAAAGGGACGGAATTGTGTAACAGAAAGCCGAGGAAGGCTATTTAAATTGACCAATGAGCGCCCGCGGTGCCAGAAGTGGTCGTTAGACAATAGGTGAGATGTCCGATGTTACACATCGTTACACATCATTATACGACTACTAAGGCATAGACAAGACTAAGGCTCGCTTGTTTCTTTTTGTACTTCGTTCGAGCGATTTTTGTTCTATTTACTTCAAAATTTGTGGCCAAGTCTTAAACATCAAATTTATTTGGCGTCTCTAATGTATTAAAATTAATTTATGTTAGTACGTATTTCATTCACAGTCTTAGCCTTTCAAAAGGTCATTTAATTTCGCATACACCTTGCTAGAAGTACAGCACAGAATATGGAGTACCTTTTAACACGAAAATGTAAAGTTCCATATTAATAAAAATAATCTGATTTAGATTTAATTTTTAAGTTGATATGATAAAGTAACCCTAGTAAGTAATCTTACATAATTGCATTTTATCGCATCGCTTTTGGAGTGTGACACAAACTTTACTTTTTTATACACTTATATTAAAAAAATATATTTTAATCAGTATTATTAATAATGTGAATGAATTGGAAATATTTGGTTTTCTAACAAAATCATAGTACAATTTTTTTTATAATTTCTTGAAAAAGAGAAATTATAATATTTTTAGTACATTTCTAATGGTTCAACAGGATTGCGTGGAGAATAAAAAAAAAGTGGCTGATCTCAAAAGGCACAAACTTCACGTAAAAGATAGTGAATCATTTGCAACGCATTTATTCATGATCTAAATATTTTTATACCTTAACTAGTCTGTATGTGTGTAGTAGTCATACGTATATACCTATATTTTTTTCTATGTTAAGAATAAACAAAAAAAAAGGATATATCCATGCATGCCATGGATAGGAAAAGGTTCAGGAAAATGAAAACTTTGCAAAAGACAAACCGAATGTGTATATTTCATGTATGGTTTATGTAGAGTAACGGTGTACAAAACAGTATCTCTTAAATAATTGTAGTTTTGTAGTTGCGTGTACGTGCGTGCTCGTGTACGTAATATTATCATACGATCAGATATTGACCGTTGTCTTCTTAACGTAATTCTATGGAAAAAAAGTTTACTTACAATCACTGCAGAATATGTGTAAAAAATATCTATGCATTTATTAAAGATATACGATTTTACTTAACCGTGGCATGAAACTTCACACTTCACTTCACTTATTCCCCCCCCCCCCCCCCCCCCCCTCTTCCAATATGTCAAGACCCCCTTGCCCCTTCCCTCTACTCCATCTACACGTAGTAATTCAGAAAGATGGTTTCAACCAAAATCTAGCTCATTTTATCTTTATTAATACAGCGCTTGCCCTATATGGTTGGGCTCAACCTCCGCTTCTTTGACCAATCATGGTATTTTGGAGACTTAACCTCTCAGGAATAGATCCCTAAGATAAGATAAGATCCCTTTGGTCCCGAACCAAGACCAAGTGTGAGTTTATTTCACATCTATTAGAACGTCACGGTGAGAGCGTTCGGCGCTGCGATTGGCTCGCACTAAATCTCTACCAATCGCAACCTCGAAAGCGCTCGCTGTCGAGAGCTTGTTGATGTGAAATACACTCGCAGAAGGCCCTCTGCTCAATACACGCGACTAAAACAGTATATCTTTAATCAATATCATTTACGAAAGTTATTAATTTGAAATAATTTACTGAATATTTACTAAATATTCGTTACACTATCTCAGATAAAACTATTTCCATTCCTGTTCTTTTTAATAAAAATGACTACATGGATATTAGTTGAGTTAAAAATTAGTTCTTATAATCAGTAATATTGATTACTAAAACATCAAGGTGTGTGTGTGTTTGGATGAATTGATTGATGTGTATGATGTTGTGATTTAAACAAATAAGAACAAACAAATGTTGTATACACCAATACGTAAAGATCGCTGCCATTTTACCGCGCTCTGACTGTACTGAGGAAATCAAACAGAGATTCGGACATCACTATTTAAATAAATAAGTTGTCACGATTTTACTGTTCATCATTAAGTAAATGTAAAATTAATATTAATTAATATGAAGGAAGAGTTGAAAAATTGATGCATATTTAGCTTACGCTATTCCGTTCATCGGACATCAAAACACAAACGGAAAAAAACCCAGCATTATCATACTTATAAGAAATGTGGTCAAACGGGTAACATGTTTTCTATGCTTATGACCAGTTTTATTTCTGATGATGAGAGTATTGGACAGCCTTAGTGGATGAAAATTATAGGTAGATTACTAAATTCCGTTTACAATTATTATACTTACCTATACTTTTTGTAGTAATTGTCTACAAAGAATAATATTTTTTTTACATAGTATAGCAAATATGATAAATTTTAAATACATTATGTCTATTTTCTCGGTGCTTTAACCAAGTTGTCGGTCTATTCGGTAAGAATCTATAGTAATGTAGCCAGTCTGAGGGTGGCCGTTTGAACCACCATAGTGTAATACAAAAACTATTATTTTATCCGAAGACGTCGGCTATTTTGTCGTAACGTAAGCTAAATATACACTTTATTAAACTTAAATGTTGTCATACCTAAAAATATACTTCTACTCAAGAATAGTGGATACTTTAATTTGTATTATTTACGAACTATATAGTGTATTATTATTATTTGCATTGAAAATATCTGTTTGTGAATGTCAAAAGTTTCTAACACAGTACTAGAAATGGTGGTATTTACTGTATAAGTTTTTATTTATTTTTTGTATTGTAGAAAATAAATATTGAAACTTTATTCCGGTACAGACTTAATTATGGATACTCACTTATTAGTGGAAAATAGTGCTAAAGAGTTCTCAAAGTAATTAGATTAGTGGGTGGACGATTATCTACTAGAAGGGTAGAGTCAGTCCTTGCTAGCTACGGAATGTACGTATGTAATGTTCTCTGGACGCCACTGTCGCATATATGTGACGACAAGGACACTAGGCGCTATCGGTTCCAGCACACAGATAAACGTTCATTCCTAATACATTTTGTTCTAAATATATTATTAAGAATATATAAATAGAAACAAAAAACCAAATCAAAAAGAGATCTCTGTGCATACACATATTTGTATTGAGTGGGATTAGAACCCGCGACTCCCGATTCTCCCTTTTACCTCTTAACTGTTTCTACTTTCCCTCTTTAACTGTTGTAACTAAGGTTTCCACACGAACTATACGCAATAAAATAATATGTTTACTTATAATACGTAACGTTACGAACAAAATTCTGTTGATAAGTGTGTACTCATGTAGGTAGGAGTTGTGTTTAAGAAGCAGTTAGAAAAAAAAATTAT